CTGGTTTTCTACATAGTCTTTGAATGCTGATGAAAATAACTTGTGCCCCATTATTTGATGATTAGTCAGATATCATACAGCGCTTTTAAAAAGTTGTTTCTTCTCAATATTGGCTCGGTCACACCATCTAGAATATTCACACACACTGAAAACAAAGATGAATAACCTATAGGGTTTTTTTATTTGTATGGATTTATTTTCCCCTTTCACACGGTACCCACTGCAATCAGAGTCCTTCTATATATTTGTGGTCAATGGGTGTTCAGTAACCAGAACAGAGCATAGGATCAGTCCTTGAGGAAGTTAGACTTCAGGCAGGCCTTCAAATGCTGAGAACAAAACATCTGGTTGTGGTTCTCAAGCCTTTGGTTCTAGCAAGATGAATGAGAGGTGATTAGAATGTCTGTGCACCTGAAAGTATTGGAAGGTGACCTCCAGTTCCCACTTTGAAGGGAGAGAATGGAAAGAGGCATGTGGTGGGGTATCAGGAGCAGCTGCTCTTGCACCTTTAAGGTGTTCTGTAAACACTGGCAGGTGAGGAAGGAGGTTGCATTAGGAAAAAGAAAAAAGAAAGTGATTAAGATACAGCTTGTGACCTTAGAAAGATCCAATCCAGTAAGGGAGACAAGTACTGACATAAATATATGTTAGTATGGAAGGAAAAACCTAGGACTTTTAGAACCATGAAATTGGCATTCCTCCCTGGAGAACAAGGTGAAGAATCATAGAACTACACAGGACTCAGAGAAGCCCAGACAAATCAACTACAAACAAGCTCATTAGCTGCAGCCATCACCCTGTACACCAAAATCTTCCTAAAAGGTCCTGAGGTCTTCCCAGGTCATCACCCATGTCAGGTGTCTCAAGTTATGCAATAAACACACAGTGACATGAAATACAGAGGACTAACGTGCATTTCTTTGTATCTGCATAGAAGGGAGGCCTGTTGGATGGCGATAGAGACCATGCAGCGCGTGGAAAGTGTCTCCCCAAAAGAGGGGTGAGTCCAAATGGAGTGTGGAAAGCAGCCTCCTGCAGACTGTGGAAGCCCAAGCAGATTGCAAAGCGCACTCTGTGGAGCAAGACATCCCTTGTGTAGTGTGTCAGAAATTGGACTGAGGTGAGGAGAGTTTCAACATGGGTGGTCTCCCTGGCACAGGAAGTCAGAACGTGAATGGAGAGAGGAGGCCATTTACAAGGGAGAGACAATGGCAGCTGTAGCGTACACATAGTGACATGGAAAGGGATTAATCAAATATATAAATCTGTAAGGATAACACAACCACATTTCTCAGTATTGGATAAGGGAGTTGCAAATACGGAAAGAGAGAACACCAGAACACAAGAATAAACCTTATAATACTGGATTGGAATTAGTGTGAACTCATCACTTCTCAATATGTCTAAAGAGCAATTAAAGATACCTGTAAATATATATGTACTGTGAGTATATATGTGTATGTATAGCTCTGTCCACTGTGATGCCTAAGGGTAGTTCACCCCAAAAGCACCCCAAAAGATCTAGGGTCCATATTCTGTTTTCTAAATACCACTGTCCGCTAGAAGGAACCAGGACTTTTTGGACAAATAGTAGAAACCAAGCCAGGCAGGAAAAACCTAGAACCCCCTGTGCCATAAAGTAAGGAAATGTTCAAGGAATGATGGGGACCCTGACAGGAAGGGGAATTTAGGAAGTAACAACCCTCTATTTCCATATCTCCTTTGGACAATGCTTCATCAATATTGAAAGATTATTATTCATAAATAAAGCCTTTGAAATAAAAATTATTTTTATCAGTTGCATCCAGCCTTACATACTGAGACTAAAACCTGGTTTTTGTAGATTTACAGATATAAATATACCAATGCCAACCGTAGCACATTAGAAACACAATTTTTAAGTGCTTAGGCCTACCTAAAAGGTAGGTTTGTACTGTTTTCCATTCCATCCATCTATTTATTGACCAATTAAGCAAACATGTATTAAGCACCTGCGCTCTGTAAAGTATTTTGATAAGGGCCGTGAAGCATATAAGCTTCTGGCACAGCAGCCTAGTGAAGTCTACCCTGCTTGGCGTACAGTGTTTCAGAGCTGGGTAGACAGAGAAAATTATTTCAGTCTCTCCCCACATCCGAATTTCAAGGATGAGGAAATGAGAGAGTCGGTAGATGAAATGATTTAGACACCTAAAAGCCAATTACTTTAACCTTCCTAAAGCATACCCTGTAAAGCTTTCCAAATTAGATTTTATCTGTAAACATGTCAAACATGTCTTAATTTTTTATTTATTTATTTTTATTTTTTTGAGATAGAGTCTTGCTCTGTCACCCAGGCTGGAGTGCAGTGGTGCAATCGTGGCTTACTGCAACCTCCGCCTCCCGAGTTCAAGTGATTCTCCTGCCTCAGCCTCCTGAGTAGCTGGGACGTCAGGCGCACGCCACCACACCTGGCTAATTTTTTTGTATTTTTAGTTGAGATGAGGTTTCACCATATTGGCCAGGTTGGTCTGAAATTCCTGACCTTGTAATCTGCCCACCTCTGCCTCCCAAAGTGCTAGGATTACAGGCGTGAGCCACTGCACCCAGCCCATGTCAAACATGTCTTGTAGCTACTGTAATCCCTGAAGCACTTTGAGAATGAGAACATTATTCACAAAAGCTTTTTGAACAAATTAAAATGGTCCATGTGCCCATGAGAGTTGGTTTTATTCATTGCTCTATTCCTGGTCTTCAAACAGTGCCTGACATATAGTTCTGTGTTCCATAAATACCTAGTGGATCATATTTTTTGATATCTTAAGTGTGTATATGGAGGCTGTTGGAGGCGTTTCACCAGTAAGGGGCAGTGAGAGTTGCTAAGCCTTTACTTTGGTGTTTCAAATGTCTTCTTGCTTTGTGTATTCCCCTGCGGAATCCCTTTGTGTATCTATGCTCCCAGTGCTGTATCTGGAGGACTGTGGGCAGATGGCTGAGAAGAGGGCCATGTGCCTCTTTCACCACCAGGAGGAGCTGTGACTTTAGTGACATCAAGTGGAGGGAGGAGAAGAGAGGCAGGAGGGAGGAAAGGACTAAGGAAGAATCAAAAGCTCTGGCATCAGGGTTTGCTCCTTGTGCTAGTTGAGAGACCATGTGTGGACAACATGAAGACACTGAAGTCCATTCCACCTGGACCTGCGTAGCCTTGTCTCTGCAGTCCCTCTGCTCACGCCATTAGGGCCTTCTGTCATTCAAGTCTGTGTTCAGGTCTGTCATCCTAAGTAGGTGAGATGCTCCCCGGGGGTAGGGGTTGCAGATTATTCCTCTCGCGCCCCCTCAGCACCCACTGAAGGGTGCTCCCTCCCTAGTTGGTATTACATTACTGGGTCTTCAAATGATGCACAGCTGGCTCCAGGGAAGGGCTCAGCTGAGCCAGGTGAGGAGGCCTCCTGGAGTTCACCGAGATGAGGGAGTGGAGCTGGAATGTGCTTGCCTGGGTCCAAGACAGGCATCAGGAAGGCATCTGCCCAAAGGGAAGGGGTCTGAGTGTCAGGGAGGAGGGGAGCCACAAGGAGAAAGAGGAAGGGGAGACCCAGTTATTCATTGTGGGGAGGGCAGGCAGTTGCTAAGAAAAATGCAACTGTCTGAGGAAACTGCCATGCACACCTGGCCCTGACAAGCTAGTCTAAACCCACCTCTTGAGGTACAGGCACAAAGGTGGAAGGGAAAGAGGAAGTGTGAGCTATAGACACTAACAGTGACACTAACAGGAGCAGAGACTTCCCAAGCAACCCCTGTCTCAGGGCCAGGGAAGCACACCCATAAGACCAGAATGCCAAGCAGGGAGACTCAGGGTCCCCACGCCTCTGCCCGTGTGACCCTGCCATGGGCTGCAGCCTCCACTGTGGTGTGGTCCATTGTCTCAGGTGAGTCCTGGGCAGAGATGGGACATTTCTCTCCTTGGATTTTTTGCTTTTTTCATGGAACTGCCTCAGAATACTCTGTCCTAGGCTTAGACTGAATTTGGCTTCTTATTTTCACAGGCTCCATGGATACTGAAATTACGCAGACACCAAAATACCTGGTCACAGGAATGGGGAGTAAAAGGATGATGAAACGTGCGCATCTGGGACATGATTCTTTGTATTGGCTCAGACAGAAAGCTAAGAAATCCCTAGTGTTCATGTTTTACTACAACTGTAAGGAACTCATTGAGAACAAGACTGTGCCAAGTCACTTCACACCTGAATGCCCTGACAGCTCTCGCTTACACCTTCATGTGTTCGTGCTGCAGCCAGAAGACTCAGCTCTGTATCTCTGCACCAGTAGCCAAGATACAGCCCTGCAGAGTCACCGCCTCCCTGTGCACAAACCTCCTCCTAAGTCTAGTCAGAGATCCCTGGGGGCAACGTGTTCAGCTGAGCCTCAACACTCAGTTCAGCATTCTGTAGGACTTCGGCAGAAATCTCAGACCATAATACTGTCATTTATTGGATGTGACAATGCTAAATTGCCCAGACACCTGCAGCCTGGGGCATGTCTTTGTCTTGAACGAGACTGTGCCTGAGTTTGAATGTAGGACAGATGCTGTCACGTTTAAGTTGCTCCAAGTATCTTCCAGTTGGCTTGTGCCTCTGGGAAATGTTGTGTGAAGTATTTAACACTCTGGCCACACTAATTCACCTTCCAATATGAACCGTTTTTTCACTTTTCTTTTGACTCAAGTTAGACCCTGGATCTCAGCCCTCATCCCAGATCCAAATATAGTCAGACCTTTTCTTTTCTTTCTTTCTTTTTTTTTTAGATGGAGTCTCACTCTGCTGCAAGGCTGGAATAGTGCAGTGGCGTGATCTCTGCTCACTGCCACCTCCACCTCCCAGGTTCAAGTGATTCTCCTGCCTCAGCCTCCGGGGTAGCTGGAACTACAGGCACTACCACCACAACCAGCTATTTTTAGTAGAGACATGGCTTTATCATGTTGGCCAGGATGGTCTCAAACTCTTAACTTCTTGATTTGCCCCCCTCTAACCCCCAAAGTGCTGGAATTACAGGCGTGAAACACCACACCCGGCAGGTCCTTTTCTTTTCTTTTTTTAAAAATAAAGAATACCCATTGCCCTCCTCAGGTGGCTGTATCAGTGCCTGACTCTGAGGACAGTGGTTCCCCATGGGGTTTGCATCGTTGTTCTCTAGTTCACTCTCCCTGGGGCATGTGCAGAGTTTCAACTTCTTGTTGGCTTCTCTCTTCCACTCAGGATTTAAAACTTTCAAACTTGATTGTTTTTCCTCCTGTCTCTTTAATCCTAATACCAAGTTTTCTTGGCATCCATTATCAACTGTGGATTCTGTTGCACCTGAGTTGTTGCTCACAGCAGGTAATAAGAGAAGGCGACCTCCTGGAATTTCTGAGCCGGACTATGTACTCAGGGTTACCTTGCTGAGCCCCACATTTTCCAGCACTGCTCTTAATAATTAATGGCCCTCAGTCCTGCACACACCATCAGACCCCTGAGCAGAGCCCTGCACTGTCAGGTTTCTGCACCAACACAAAGGATCCCTCCTCTCTCCTATAGAGGGAGCTCCAGGGATGGTGGGTGTTGCCCCAGACACCAGCAATTCTGCCAGACCTTGCCTGTGGGGCCATGGGAGCTCAAAATGCCACTCCTTTCCTCCACAGGACCAGATGCCTGAACTAGGAGAGGCCTCATTCCTGCTGTGATCCTGCCATGGATACCTGGCTCGTATGCTGGGCAATTTTTAGTCTCTTGAAAGCAGGTCGATGCTTAGGACTCTAGGAAATTCTTGCTTTGAACTTACCTAAGACAGTTCTAAACCATTCTCTTAATCTTCTTCTTTTCCCACAGGACACACAGAACCTGAAGTCACCCAGACTCCCAGCCATCAGGTCACACAGATGGGACAGGAAGTGATCTTGCGGTGTGTCCCCATCCCTAATCACTTAAACTTCTATTGGTACAGACAAATCTTGGGGCAGAAAGTCGAGTTTCTGGTTTACTTCTATAATGATAAGATCTTAGAGAAGTCTGAAATATTTGATGATCGATTCTCAGTTGAAAGGCCTGATGGATCAAATTTCACTCTGAAGATCAAGTCCACAAAGCTGGAGGACTCAGCTACGTACTTCTGTGCCAGCAGTGAAGCCACAGCCTTGCAAAGACACCTCCAGCCTGTTCAAAAACCCTCATAGATCTGCCTCCCTCCCAGCCACCATCACCCACTTCCTGTCTAAGAAAACGAAGTCTCTGGTTGGGTTTGTTCTTGCTGCCGTCACGAAATAATCAGATATCCGAAATTGAATTAACAAAGATATGTTGGACAGGAATGGCCAGATGCTGTAGGATTTGAAGAATGTTTACAGATACTACAGAGTGTGATGGTGGGCTCTGAATATGGGAGAATTGTACACGACCAAGTAACTTGTATCTTCTCCTTAATCCCATTTTGCCGTCTTTATTAGAATTTTTTTGTTTTAGTTGCTTAGGAAAACATATTTTAACTCCTAGGATAGCGAGATGATTATGGAGTGGGAGTTCAGGTATTCCCATGAGAATACAGAGGATTGCCACAGAAATCTTCAGAAGGAGAAGGGGCTTGGTAGAAGGAACTCAGTATCAGTGGGTCTTGTTCAGCATGTGCTCAAGAGCAGAACTATCTGATGACTCTGTCACCCTGGTGTGCTACATTTGGGCTAATGACGCTAGCTCACAAAATAACAAGTTAAGAGAGTAGAAAACATGGAGTCTAATATTGGGACACCATTTCACACCATTTCAAGGTCAACAGGGGTCTAGATCAGCATGAGAATCCCCAGAATAAAGCCAGGCAGTGCAGGAACAGAATTCAGCAACAAAAGTCAAGAGACATCTAGAGGCAGAGGCAGGAATGAATTGTCACTTTCAACTTAACATGAGGCAGCCAGATTAACTTCTTGAGTTTCATTTAAGAAACTATTTGTCTTTTAAACATATCTATTGAAATCTAAATTCTAGGTATTCGTGTATTTGGGTTCTGGAATTTCCACTTAAATCTTCCTACAATTTCCAGCTGTCTGCTAAAATTCCACATTTTGTCATTTACTGCTAAAATTCCACATTTTGTCATTTACTTTGTTGACTATATTAACATCTGTCATTTGAAAGCCAGTTTTGGATAACTTTAACATCTGAATCTCTTGGGTCTGTTTCTTTTTTCTGTTTTCTCTGTTTGGTTTCTGGGCATGTGATTTTGTTTTCTCACACAACTAGTAATTTATTTGAATGCTGGATATTGTATATAAAAACTATAGAGATAATCTGAGGCTCTGAATGATTTCATCTTCCTCAAATGATTCACTTTTGCTTCTGCTGGGAATTGTAGCAGGGGAAGATCACCTTAACTGAGCTGATGACTGAGCTGGATCAGAGCTGAGCTTCAGCCTGCATGACGGCTGCTCGCCTTTGGTCTTAGCCATTTAAGTTCCAACTAGATGTCTGGAGTGTAACAGCTTAATTAAAGTGTAAATTGCATAACATAATATTTGCCCATTGCAAGTAAGTCAATGAATTTTGATAAATTTGTGGAGTTGTGCAACAATCACTGTGATCCAGCTGTAAAGCATTTCATCCTCCCCACCCAGAAAGTTCCTTCTTGCTCATTTTCAGTCAATCCCTGCTTCTACCCCCAGCATCAAGGCCTGGGGTCTTTGCCAGGCTCCTCTCCTATTCAGTAGTCACTGAACGTAAATGTTCTCCAGACCAGAAACGTGGTGGATGCTCCTCAAAGCCCGCTACACTCTCAGTCTTCCCTTTTTTTCCTCAGCTACTTAGGCAGCGATATAAAATTGGCAAATGACTTAGAGGGAAAAGTGGTCTGTTAGATCTCTCCTTTCTCCTTGAGATCCCAGTCTGTTAGGTTCTTACTGCCTCAGTAGCTCCAAGTGCCTTCAAACATTTATCTTTATATTTTGTTAAGTTTATGTAGTTGTTTTGATAGGAATGTTGTTCTGCAAAAATTCAGTCTATTAACTCCGAAAGCCAGTTTTTATATTTATTAAAGGTGAGGTGAAATTTTATATGTTTGTATTTTAAATAGAAGCCTCTTGAAGAAAGGAAGGAGTGAACCTCTCCGCCTTCCCTTTTTTTTTTTTTTTTTTTTTTTTTTTCTTTTTGAGATAGAGTCTCGCTCATGTCACCCAGGCTGGAGTGCACTGGGGCGATCTCGGCTCACTGCAACCTCCACCTCCCGGTTTCCAGTGATTCTCCTGCCTCAGCCTCTGGAGTAGCTGGGATTACAGGCGCATGCCATCACAACCGGCTAATTTTTGTATTTTGAGTAGAGACGGGGTTTCACCATGTTGGCCGGGATGGTCTCGGCCTCTCAACCTCGTGATCCACCCGCCTCGGACTCCCGAAGTGTTGGGATTACAGGCATGAGCCACCGCGCCTGGCTGCATATCTTTATTTCTAAGACCTCTACCACCCTGCTGCCTTTGGTCCACCATGGGACAGAGTCTTCACACGTTTGACCTTTTACCACAAGGAGGAGCTGTGACTCTACTGAGATGAAGGGAACTCAGAGGAAGGACAGAGCATTCTCCGCATGGGAGACAGTTAAAAGAAATATCGGGTTTATTTGCAACAGGGGAAAAGGTGGTCTGCAGAAGCTGTGTTAATGCTAAAATGTGAGAGGTTAAATACAAACTGTTCATTTGCCTTGCTGTGCACGTGTTTTTGTTCTAGCAAAGAGCCTAGACTGCCAGATTTGTTGCATGTGTCCCTGCATGGGATGAGGAAGGGGGAGAGTTTGAGCCGGGAAAGAGGAGAGCTCACAGGCAGATGACAGTGGAGGACCCGTTCCTGAGAGGAATGAGAAGCTCTGGATGCTGGGCCTCTGCTCCAGCTCAATCCTGCCGTGAAATGACTTCCTGAGACCTGGGCAGTGAGCCTGACAAATCAGGGCTTCCTCGAGGGATCTTGCAAAGAGAGTAATTACCAAGGGAAATCTACTTATCAGACCAAAGAATACCTGGAGCACCATTCCCCTGACTCTAAATGATGAAACACTTAAGCTAGAAGGGGATTTTCTTTTCTTTTTCCTCTTCTGGATGTTCCTCTAAGTTCTTGGAGCAAGAGCTTGGAAGGATAGGAAACCCGTCTCCTGGGTCTGAGCAAATGGTTCTGTCAAAACAGCATCACCAGACTCCCTTCCATCTTCCAGCTTCAACATCTATCCCTGTCTCCCAAGATCCATGGAAGCTGGACTTGTCCAGATGTCAAAAGATGATGCCAAACAGCTGCAGATGGGAAAGAAGGTGGCGTAGACAGACCTCCAGGATGCACATCTGAAACAGGCTCTTCCTTTTGTTTTCACTACAGGCTCCTGTTTCACCTTTTCAAAAAGCAGTTGAAATTTTCCTTACTTCTTGGAAATCCAAAAATACAGCAAAGATACATTTTATGTAGGCGTTAGCTATTCAGCAGGAGGGAGCTTCAAAATATCTCTATACTCTACGATTTTCCACCATGCTGCCTGGAAGTGAAAGTCTAGCCAAACAGTTTAATAGGAAAACCATTAGCCGTCCTGTGGAGGTTAATTTTGCAGTTTATTTTGGAATGGAAAAAAGCACGTATTAAGATAGGAAACTCATGTCTACATGCTAGAATCTAAATTTCTTAACTTTCTGTAGTATGAGCCATTTTCAAATCTGGTAAAGTCATAAAACCAGACTATTCGAAACACACACTTCTAAGCTCAATACTAAATATTTAAAGTGACTAACGTTAGTAAGAGTTGGAGAGTCAGGATCCCCCTGGACTTTTCGAACTCCTACCCTCACAAAAAAATCTAGAGCTCTTCTCAGTTAAAAAAAAAAAAAAGTGACATATAATCATTTTTCTTTGTTAGTAAATAATCTCTATCCATCATGGCATTGCATTTAATTTGTGTTAATTATTCCCCCAAACTTTGGGGGAATTGCCCAAATATAACACGGGGTTTAAATATTGAACAGCCAAAAATATCACCCATGTTCAAAATATGCATCGTGATATCATTCAGTTCGACATGTTCTAGTTCTTCTGCAGCCTCCTGCCTTGTTCCCTTTGCCCCTACAACTCTCTGCCTTTTTGTGGATTAAGTTATCCCCAGGATAAAATTATTACGTTTTCTTCCCCGTTTGACTTTCTTGTTGGAAGCCTGGCTCTTCCCAGGGATCCTAGCATCTATCCTCTCTCCTTTCTGTAGCTTTTTTCCCCTTCTGCAGCAGAGTGGGCCGTGTTAGAAAAGAAGACGTACATCATCAATTCATTTGCTCCTTTTTGTACTTGGACCATTTTTTTTTTTTTTTTTTTTTTTTTTTTTGAGACAGAGTCTTGCTCTGTTGCCCAGGCTGGAGTGCCGTGGCACGATTTCGGCTCACTGCAAGCTCCATCTCCCAAGTTCATGCCATTCTCCTGCCTCAGCCTCCAGAGTAGCTGGGGCTACAGGCGCCCGACACCACGCCCGGCTAATTTTTTTGTGTTTTTCGTAGAGACGGGGTTTTCCCATGTTAGCCAAAATGGTCTCGATCTCCTGACCTCGTGATCCGCCCGCCTTGGCCTCCCAAAGTGCTGGGATTACAGGCGTGAGCCACTATGCCCGGGCTAGACAATTCTTGATGGACAATAAAACACTTTTGCTTTTCATGTCTCCTGTAAAACACAAAACAAAACAACAACCAGAACTAACATTGCCTCATGTGAGGCGAGTGTCTTTCTATCAGTTTCATTCCAGTGCCTCTCCCAGAGACTATCCATGTGATTTGGTAAAAACACTTGCGTAAGATAGTGAGATACTTATTTATTTAAAGTTTACTCTTTAAGAATGGTTACATCTTTATGTAGTTATCATCACCATTGTATGTAGCCTCTTGTCATTTCACTATCTTCCCTCACTTCCATTCCTTCTTTGAAAGGCTTCCCATGTCAGCTGTGTGGTGCAATGAGGTAGGTACTGAGTAAGAGTCACATCTAGGGGGTACCTAGTTGTGTTCACAGAATTTTAGAGCTAGACAGAATGTTGAAAATTATTTATTTATGCCCATTGTTTCATAGATGAAGAAATGAGATGTTTTTTAAAAAGTGTTTAAATGTAAATAGTAACTATATTGCTGGCCTCCATGTAACCTGTATTTCATGTTCTTAGTCTACAGATAATGTGTGAATGTATTTTTGCTCCTACTGGATTATAAGCATCATGAGAGTGAGAATATTGTTTACTCATGATTCGCACTAAGTAGCCATTCAATGACTGCAAACAAATAGAGCATGCTTGAAGTTCCAAGAAGGATGGTGGTCATTTTTCTTTTGTTTAGTACTAGTTGTGTGTTTAGCAAATCACAAATGAACCATCAGGGTCTGTCTTGGGAGGGGTTTCAACATTAGATGACAGCATTACCAAAGTTAGTATGTGTGTGTGTGTGTGTGTGTTGTGTGTGTGTGTGCACACACGTGCACGTGTGCATATGTGTGTGTGTGAGAAATGCCTTTCTAGCAGTGCTGGTTTTCCTCCTAGAGGTTGCTGCCCTGGGGCCACTGACGGAGGCACTGAGGTCTGAGTGCTGGGCCTTGCTGATCACAGCAGGAGGAGCCGTGGCCCGACCACACCCCTGAAGCTGGGTGAATGATGCCTGGCAGAAAAGAGGAGTGCCATCAGCAAGAATAAAGGGGACAGGAGTCCTCAACAGGGGATAATTCAGAAAACACGAAGGCATGTTGTGTTGTCACATTGGCATCAGGTGGGTAGGGCCCAAGGATGCCACTAAGCATCCTACCTGCACAGGTCAGCCCCCCACAACAAACAATCACCTGATCCAACATGGCACTCAGGCTGAAATTGAGAAACTCTGCAATAAGCTTGTGTTGTAAACTTTGTACCAAGAAGGAGGATTATCAGCAGACAATTCAAGGGCAATACTGTCACCTACTTTTGTTTTCCCTGACTGCCGTGTTGTTGACCTTCATCACCATTCTTTCCCAGCACACGGTGTCTGCATGTTGTCCAACAGCCTCCTTTTCCTCATAGATCTACCCCTTGGACAGATAAGAACATCAGAGGGAGCAGGGCTGCAGTTCATCACTCCCAACAATGACCCTTCAACAGGGTTTTCTCTGAACTAGCATCACAGTCATGTGGGTTAGGTGGCTGTAGCTGGTACTCAGGTGAAATCTCAGGCCAGTCTCTTCTGAATCAGGGGGATTGCTGACCATTAATCAGAACTTCAAGTGAACAAAGATTCAAGAGAGCAAAACAATGTTCTGCTTTATTGTGAAGGGGAAGCAAAGGATCCAGAGAGGAACAGCAGCCTGACTCTTGGGGAAGGGCATGAAAGGGAGAGGAAGGGAGGAGATGGTCAATCCGGGGTAAGGAGCGGGGAGGGAGGGGGCTGATGGCACAGGAATGACTGTCAGAGACACATCCTGGAGGCCACAATTCAACCCTCTCAACTTTTCCCAGAAGTTCCAAAAACTCCTTTAAAGCAGCAAGTGCAGGGCGTGAAAAGGAGGAGCCATGCTAGAGGAGAGCCTGGGAATGGGGAAATGATTACAGGCTGTGACCTCACTGGCGCAGCTCCTCTCAGCGGCAGTGGAAAGCACAGCCTAGACTTCTCACCACTGCACACCAGAATCCTGCCCCGGGCCTTGCCTGGTCTGCCTGACTCTGTCATGGGCTGCAGGCTCCTCTGCTGTGTGGTCCTCTGCCTCCTCCAAGCAGGTGAGTCCTGGGACCAGGTGACATCATCCTGTTGGAGTCCCTAAGTCTTTTCACCATTACAACAACAGCAGGGTACCTCCTGGGATTTGCCTGAATTCTGCTTCTTTTCTTTGCAGGTTCCTTGGACACAGCTGTTTTCCAGACTCCAAAATACCTGGTCACACAGATGGGAAAGAAGGTGTCCCTTAAATGTGAACAAAATCTGGGCCATGATACTATGTATTGGTATAAGCAGGACTCCAAGAAATTGCTGAAGATAATGTTTAGCTACAATAACAAGGAACTCACTATAAATGAAACAGTTTCAAATCGCTTCTCACCTGAGTCTCCAGACAAAGCTCATTTAATTCTTCACATCAAGTCCCTGGAGCTTGGTGACTCTGCTGTGTATTTCTGTGCCAGCAGCCAAGGCACAGCCCTGCAGAGTCACCGCATTCCTGTGCACAAACCTCCCAGCTCAGCCAGGAAGCTGTGGGCCAGGGTGTGCACCTGCACCCAAGGCTCCAGTCTCCACTCTCTGATGGCCTCGGATGGAGTTTCAGTCTGTAATAGAGATGGCTAGTGCAACCAGTGGAGAAGTTGTCTATTTTATGCACACAAAGTCTCACAGAATTGTTTATCAGCTGGAGCAGGGCTTCACAACCAAGCCACGGAAGTATTAGGGCCCCACAAACAAAAACGGAGCCTGTCCAATGCACTGAAGATCTGAACTGGTGGAGGAAGCTATTTCTTGTCTTTCTGTGCTGCACACATGAGTCCATATTTTATATAACATTATGAAAAAATATGATTGCTAAAAATGGTTGATGAGCACAAGCATAAAGGAGGGGGAAGGAAATATTTCTAAGATCAAGAGACAATTCTGATGATCAGTAAGTACTTTATTTGACAGAAAAATATTTGGAGAGGCATGAAATTCCATGGCAATAGGTAAACTGGAAAGTGTTGAGGAGAAGCCAGTGGAGGCAGCCTTGTGCATTGTAGGCTCCTTCTCTTCAAGAAGGGTGACCAGCAAGCGTCTCTCCAAATTCTGATGAAGGTCATCTTGAACTCTCCCCAAGAGTAGGCGACAGCTAGATGACTGGGGATATCGGGAGACCTGAAAGGACTTTGGACACAAATCTCTAGGCAGTGGTGAGCCATTGGTCCTACTCCAAGTGAAACAATATGATGAAACTCATATTTTGGTACAGGAACACTGGTAGTAGTATGGATCAGAAAGGAGATAGATTTTGGGTGGCATGAAGAATCAGGAGACTTCTAAATATCCTACAGGAAAGATTAGAAAGAGTTTATGTGAAGCATTGTGGACAACATAGGCTTGAGGCTCTGGATTATGTTATTTCTTGGAAATAGTATTGGGTTTTATTCTGGGAGGGTTGAATCTATGACTAGCTAGGGTCTACTTCAACTTTGCCCTCCCTTTTAGGGAGCCCCAGCATGTGGTCAGCATTGCTAGTGCATGCCTTTCCAGGGTCTTAGTGGGAATCACGGTGTTCCCACCACGACTCTCCACTCTCACTGGGTCTGAATGCCAATCCCTTCTGGCCCTGAGTATCTTCTGACATCCCTGCCCATGTCTTCAGCCTTCCAGAGTTTGTTCCCTGCTGGGCCTTCGGGAGTGCCACCCTCTGCACGCACAACTTAGGACACGACCCAGAAAGAAATATAAAAAATAAAAAAAGATTTTCTTACACAGGTTCTCAGGGCTCCTTTTTAGTACACTGTATCCTAAATCCCGGCTGTCTTGGAGTCAGTTATGTCCTCTTATCTTCAATCACATATACTACTTCTATTTTATATAAATATGTTTACTTGGCTTCTCTTCATATTTACTATTCCACTCTTCACTCTTCTTGCAATTCATACAGTCCTGAGATCACTTTCCTTCTTAGGTCCATCCCTAATTCAGATGACTTGATCTCTTTGGTCAATACCTTGTTGTGGGAAATGCTTATGTTAGCTATTGTCCTCAGGACAATTAAACCTTTCACTTTCACCATTATTCAAGTTTTCAGTTTAAATTCTATTGCTTTTTTAATGCCCTTGCAATTTGGTTTACTTATTGGGAGCCAAACAATACAATAAAATTTTATTTGTTCACATTTGTTCTGCTTCTTTGTAGAAGGCCCAAAGTGTTTTCTTGCTGAATTAGATACCAATTGAAACAATTTTAATGGTAATGATACTAGTGTTTAAAATAAGGCCAATTTTAGTTTTTTACATGATGAATAGAATATCTCCAACTGTAGCAGGTTAGATATCGATCCTATATGTAACCTGTTGAGAGGGAGAATATACAAAACCCTTAAAGTCTAATCTACATCCATTACATTTTTTTTGTTTGTTTTTTGGGCCACATTGAAAATCTGATGAAATTTATACATTAGAAGAATGCTACAATTTTCCTCCTGACCAAGCACTACCCCAGGTTAAAACAAATCTAAATTATAAACCCTTGACATAAATCATGGATAAGTGTCTTCCCTCGGCCCAGTGTAGATTTACATATAACACAGATTTACGACCCTAATCTCAGTCCTACAATTATAATTATCAACACAAAATGGTAATACTGATGTAATACAACAATAAATAGATGGTAAAAATCACTTAGTATGAATCATCTCATTTTGTGTTTATTTGTGTTCATTTGTATCTTCAAAGGTTCTAGAATGAAAAGTCAATATGGGCATAACAGTATATTTTAAGAAAATTGATGATATTCTAATAACTAAATGGTCACAAAGCATAAATAGCTTGTGCAGTGAAGTAGAGAAGACCCACAGGCAGTCATCAAGCTGCTTTCTAGTTGGAAAGCTCTCTGCAGAACTGATGACCAATTTGGTTTCTAATATTTGAGAAATGGAAGGGTTTTGGAGATCATCTCATTTCCGCTCTCCTGATTTAATATGTGAGGAAATATTGTATCACATATATGAAGTGATTGAACAATGACATACTGATTACATATCTCAAACTTTATGTAAGATAGATTTTTATTCTTTAGTTGTTTTCTGAATATGTTGACTTGCCCTACTCAAATAGAATTCTGGGGGTGAAAATGTTGGTGACTTTCTGTTTGCTCCTAGCTGTTGCTCACGGAGTATTTGTTGAATAAGTCAGAATGGCCCATAAGTTCCAGAGTGCTGGGGTACTGTCTGTTCTGCTCATTACTAGGGATCCAGACACAAATAATTTTCTTTTCTTTTCTTTTATTTCCTTTTCTTTGTTTCATTTCATTTCATTTCATTTCATTTCTTTTCTTTTCTTTCTTTTGAGGCGCTCGGTGGGTGCAGGGTCTTACTCTGTCCTGAGTGCAGTGATGCAATCAAGACTCACTACAGTCTTGACTTTCATGGCTCAAGTGATCCTTCTACTTCAGCCTCTTGAATAGCTGGGACTACAGACATGCACCACTACATCTGGCTAAATTTTGGCCATTTTTGTAGAGATAAGGTGTTGCCATGGTGCCCAGACTCACACATAGACAATTTCTGTTGAGTAAAAAGTTAGAATGTCCTAGGTGTGTGGATACCTGGTGTTCTGGCTGCTGACGCTCTGTGTTGTTGCCAACGCTTCCTTCCTCTTCATTCTCCCCTGGTCTTTGAAACCCATCCCTGCTGCTCAGGGATGTGGGATATGGATCCAGTCTGGATCTTGATACTGGGTTGGTGAGTGGCCAAATGCTGCTTTGGCCACAGGGAGGAGCTGTGCTTCTGTGAAACCTCTGAGGCAGGGACCTGGGGAAGAGATAGAGAGTAAGAGGAGAGATGGGCCAGGAGGGATCTTGCCCACGGGGAACCATCTATACCTCGAATGAGAGCATGACCGTACTCAGGTCAAACACACTGACATCAGCTTCAAGCTGATTTCCCTTTCCTTTGCACCACACACCTTGCGTTGTTCTTTTTCAGCATCCTGTGTATGTTAGCTCTAAGCCCAGCCAAGCCTCATGCCCTCCACTTCAGGGACAGAAGGTGGCTCATCCCTTTTGTGCTCCCTCAGCTCCCTCCCCAGTGCCTGGTTGATGGTTGGCATCACAGTCATACCCTTGAATGATGGGCGCTGGTCCACACTGCATCTGTGGTCATGCAGCCATCCTCCCTCCACAGAGCCAGGCAAAAAGGCTCCACTGTGCCTAGACATTGAGGGAAGGGACGTTTTGAATGGTTCTGCCTTGTGTGATCCCGCAGGACAGAAGGAGATTCCTTGAATGGGAGTGGTCTGTTGCTGAGAGGAATCCTGAAAGATAGGGAGACAGAGATAGTGGGAGGATCCACTAAATGAGGAAGCAGCTGAGAGCAAAGAATCCCTGCCAGAGGAATATCCTTGGGGGGTAAAAAGCTGGATCTGTCCTTTCTGCCCAGCCCATTCATCCCAGCCCAGACAATTCAAATCTACCTTCTATCAGAACTTAGGGTGTAAAACGGCTAGGAAGAAACATCCCCTGGGTCTGGGGAAGCTGTCAGGAGCAGTGACATCACAGAAAAAAACACCAATCAGGGCCAAGGAGACCAGAGCCCAGCCTATCACCCAGAGGACCCCAGTCAGAGGCCCCATCTCAGACCCCAGGCTAGCATGGGCTGCAGGCTGATCTGCTGTGTGGTTCTCTGTCTCCTGGGAGCAGGTGAGCTAGGTTCAAACTGTCTGTCCTTGAACTTCAAGCTTTTTCCTTGTGGCTGCAGCAACAATCCTCCTCCTGGGCTCTGCCTGAATTTTATCCCTTTCCTCCTACAGTCCCCACAGACACTGGAGTTACCCAGACACCAAAACACCTGGTCATGGGAATGACAAATAAGAAGTCTTTGAAATGTGAACAACATCTGGGGCACAATGCTATGTACTGGTACAAGCAGAAAGCTAAGAAGCCGCCGGAGCTCATGTTTGTCTACAACTATGAGAAACTCTCTATTAATGAAAGTGTGCCCAGTCGCTTCTCACCTGAATGCTCCAAGAGCTCTCTCTTACACCTTCACCTACGCGCCCTGCAGCCAGAAGACTCAGCCCTGTATCTCTGCGCCAGCAGCCAAGACACAGCCTTGCAGAGTCGCCGCGTTCCTGTGCAGAAACCTTCAGGGCCTGCGAGGAAGCTGTGGAGGCCACGGAGGGCTCGGGTGAGCATTTCCTGCAAGAGCCCCGACAGAAGCTTCAGAACATCACGGCACCTGCTAATTCATCCATGTGGCAACTTTACATCCTGTGCACATATTTAGAGTATGAGTTTTCTTTTGCCTGAGTGTGACTGCCCTGTCAACTGCTTTGAAAAAAAGATAAACATATTCAGATCTACTTTTAAAAAAATGCTTTTTTAAAACCATGAAATAGGCCGGGCATGGTGGCTCAGGCCTGGCCTGTAATCCCAGCACTTTGGGAGGCCGAGACGGGCAGATCATGAGGTCAAGAGTTTGAGACCAGCCTGGTCAATATGGTGAAACCCTGTCTCTACTAAAAATACAAAAATTAGCTGGGTATGGTGGCATATGCCTGTAATCCTAGCTACTTAGGAGGCGGGAGAATCGCTTGAACTTGGGAGGTGGAGGTTGCTGTGAGCTGAGACTGCGCCACTGTACTCCAGCCTGGGCGATGGAGTGAGATACCATCCAAAAATAATAATAATAATAATAATAATAATAATAATAATTCTGAGATAAATCAAGCATGCTGTAAGGATTGTTTAGCTTAAAATTTTAGAAGAACCCTCCAAGCAATCACCTGTGTCACCACAGAGTTACACCCTGCACGGGGTCAGACACTGTCCTGTGAGGAGCCTTGTTCTCCTGACACTTCATGTTCAGTGGTTTTCATGACTCTTCTTTGGGACCAAGGGTTCCCTTCCATCATAGGTTGTTGTCATGCAGAGTCAAGCAGCACCGAGCACTGGGAAATCAGAGAACGAACTTCCAGGCAAGGGTCCCAGTCCAGAAGTCAGTTAGAGAAGACAGTAGTACACTTACTCTTTGGGAAACATGTTTGAGAAATATGTATCAATTTTCACCACTTCTATTGTTCTATATCCCAGTTTGTCTATTCTCTAATTTCTCGTTTTTACACTGAAAGCTAGACTGTGAATTCTAGCCCTGATCAAAGCTCCGAATGTGCACAGACACCTTCTCTGAACCCTGCAGGCAGCAAACGTGCCTCTGTCTGCTCACCTTGCTGTAGAGCCCGTGGATCACGGTCTAGAAGCTTCCTGACTCATCCACTCTCCTTCCCTTGGCTGGAAGTCTCCTTGTCGGTTTCAGGTCTCAACTCCTCCCTGGATTTCCTCTCCAGTCTGACATTTGAAGGATTATTTTCCCCCTCCGGTCTCTTTATTCCCAGTGTGTTAAATCATTAGGCTCAGAGCCTGATGCCTCCAGAGCTCTACATTAGCCTTTAGAGAGGAGAGTGGGTCCTGGCTGTTCTGTTTACGTCTTTTTTCATTCACTAATTCATTCATTCATTTATGATAGAGACAAAGGCTCCCTATCCCAAGATATACGGTCATCTGTGCTGTATCAAAAGAGAAGATATTCTTCTCACAGTTTTATGAAATGAGGTAGCTTCGCAACTTGGGGGAAAGCAACCTTTTAAGTTAGTTGTCAAAATTAGCCTTTTGCCTAAGTTAAGTTAGGATCCTAAATTGGGCTCCTACCCTCCCACAAAAACTAGGAGACAGGGACTCTATCTTCCTTGATGATTACATCTCAAAATATGGTTCCCAGGAAAGCCTGGGAAAGGAATGTCTTGGGAAAGACATTCGTGGGTCATAAAACTGGCAAGAGTTTTATATAGATTTTAATAGGATTTACACACATTTCAAAGAGACAAAGGAAGAATTTAGAATTTCAAGACTTTGGAACTAAATGCTCTTAGAAAAGGGGTGAGGAGGAGTTTCTTGCATTACTTTTCACAGGAAAAATTAAGCCTCTTTTATTTATTTTGCATTTTCCCTTACAGTAGCAGTAGATGAGTTGATACTTTAAAGCCTCCGGACCCAGCCACCCTGATGCGGTGGGGAGGTCATGGGGAAAATGGGAAGGGAGTTTAGCTGTGGGGTTTCCCTGACAGATCTGCCCTGATTCAGGAGCACAGTCCATAAAAAACCACAAAAGCCTGAGCACACAGGTAGAATCTGGCTCTTAAGCTGAGCAATGCAGAAACCTGAGTACTGGGGACTTTATTTGCAGCAAAAGACCCTTTCCCTCCCCAGCCCCTGCCCCTGGCAGCAGCAGGCAAGGCCAGTGTTTCAGGCAGGTGGGAAGAAAGGCAGGACCCTTGGGAAACCCTGGCCAGCAGCACCCATGAGGCAACCCTTACAGAGCTCAACTGAAGGGGCAACGTATTTTGTGAACAGTAAACAACTCTGGGCTCCTTAGGAATATAAGGAAATCAAGCCCTGGGTGAGGCTGGACTTCCAGGGATGCTGGTATGTTCAGGCCCAGAGTTAGTACCATTCGGATACCCGTGAATACGTGGCCTTCGTTTGTAACAACTGTGCAGTGAGCTCTGTGAACATCTAATCACATTTACATAAGTCATTTTAGAAAAGTGCTAGTTGAAAGAATAAATGCAGAAATATTAATGATTGTTAACTCTGGAGAGTGGGATATATTTTTGTTACTCTCAGTGAACTATGTAGTATTAAGTGTTCAGTTATATGCATTTTATCAAATGCAGTCACTCCGGCAGCACCACCATGACCAAAATGTGGAATATTTTATCACGTCTTAAGAGGCATTGTTCCACTTTCTTTCAATGTCCCCTGAAACCCAGGACAAATTTTATTAAAATGTCCCTAAGTAGTTAGTATTTTTGATGCTATATATTTTTTAAATTTCAACCTTTATTTTAGATACAGGGGGTACATATGCAGGTTTGTTACTTGGGTATATTGCACCCAGGTAGTGAACATAGTACCCAATAGGTAGTTTTTCAACCCATGCCCCCTTCTCCACTCCTCCCTCTAGTAATCCGCAGTGTCTATTCTTTGCATGTTTATGTCCATGTGTGCTCAATGTTTAGCTCCAACTTATAAGTGAGAGTATGCATGTATTTGTTTTTCTGTTCCCAATATACAGAAGCTATAATGAATTTAGACAAATCAACAAGCAAAAAATAAGTAACCCCATTTAAAGATGGGCAAAGGACATGAACACTTTTCAAATGATGATATTTTTAATGGCACTCCTTAATTCCAAATTTTTCTTGCTTTCACATTTACATAGAAATACAGTTTAATTTGGTATATTTAAAATGTATCCTAAAATTTTGCTAGACTCATTATTTCTGGTAGGATTTTGTACACTGTTTAGGGTTTTCCACATAGGTGCTTGGGTCCTCTGTGAATAAAGACTATTTAACATCATCCCCTACCCTCTGTGCTTTGCTAGGAGCTCCATGGCCATGTTGAAAAGAAGGGATGAGGATGGGCATCCTGTTCTTCCTAATCTTTGAGAAAAAACATTCAGTCATTTTTTCAGTTTTTGACTATTAAGTATGATATTAGCTGTAGATGTTCCATGAATGCCTTTTATAACATAGAGGACTTTTTTTATTGTTGTTGTTGTTCCTAGTTTGCTAAGAGTTTTTAATCAGAATGCTGAATTTTTGTGAAATAGTTTTTCTATATCTATTAAGATGATTATAAAAAATTTTTTCTCTCCAAGTTTTATTTTAGTTTTAAGGGCTACATGTGCAGGTTTGTTACATGGGTAAATTGCATGTCGTGGGTATTTGGTATCCAGATAATTTTGTCACCCAAGTAATCTGTTTAATACCCAATTGGTAGTTTGTTAATCCCTACCTTCCTCTCACCCCCCCACCTTTCTGTAAGCCCCAGTGTCTACTGCTCCTTTGTTTGTGTCTATGTGTGCTCAATGTTTAGCTCCCACTTATAAGTGAGAACATGTGTGGTATCTGGATTTCTGTTCCTGGATTAGTTAACTTAGGACAATGTCCTCCAACTCTCTCTATGTTGCTGAAACGAATGTGTTCTTGTTCTTTTTATGGATGCATAGTATTTCATGGTGTATATGTAGCACATTTTCTTTATCCAGTCCACATTGATGGGCATTGAGGTTGATTCTATGTCTTTGCTGTTGTGAATAGTGCTACATTGAACATCGTGTGCATGTTATCTTTATGGTAGAGTGCTGTATTTCTTTTGGTATATTAATTGGATTGCTGGGCCGAATGGTAGGGTTTTTTGTTGTTGTTGTTTGAAAAATATCCAGACTACTTTCTACAGCGGTTGAACTAATTTACATTCCCACCAACAATGTATAAGCTTTCCATTTTCTCGGCAATCTTGCCAGCATCTGTTATATTTTGACTTTTTAATAACAGTTATTCTAACTGGTGTAAGATGGTATATCATGGTGGTTTTCATTTGCATTTTTCCTACTAATTAGTTATATTGAACATTTTTTTCATAGGCTTGTAGGCTTCATGCATTTCTTCTTTTCAAAAGTGTCTATTCATGTCCTTTACTCATTTTTCTTTTTTGAGATGCAGTCTTGCTCTGTCACCCAGGTTGGGGTGCAGTGGCCGGAGCTCGGCTCACTGCAAGCTCTGCCTCCTGGGTTTACGGCCATTCTCCTGCCTCAGCCTCTCGAGTAGCTGGGACTACAGGTGCCCGCCACCACGCCCGGCTAGTGTTTTTTTTTATTTTTTATTTTTTAATAGAGACAGGATTTCACCATGTTAGCCAGAATGGTCGTGATCTCCTGACCTCGTGATCCGCCCGTCTCAGCCTCCTAAAGTGCTGGGATTACAGGCTTGAGCCACCGCGCCCGGCTGAATGTCTTCTATTCTTTCTCTTGTGTGATTGCTCTTGCTATGTCTGCCCCTGCTGTGTCGATTGGGAATGGTGAGAATGAGCATCCTTGTCTTGTTCACAGGAATGTTTCCAGTTTTTGCTGCTTCAGTGTGTTATTAGTTGTGGTATGTCATAGATAGTTCTTAATATTTTGAAATATGTACTTTCAATGCCTAGTTTGTTGAAGGGGTTTTAACATGAAGGAATGTTTAATTTTATCAAAAGTCTTTTCTGTATTTATTGAGATGATCATCTGGGTTTGTTTTTAGTTCTGTTTATGTGGTGAATCACATTTGTTGATTTGTGTATGTTAAACCAATGTTGCATCTCAGGAATGAAGCCTACTTGATTGTGGTAGATAAACTTTTTGATGTGCTGCTGGATGCAGTTTGCCAATATTTTGTTAAAAATTTTCGCATCAAATTAAATAATTTTTAAATATGGTGACTTACATTAATTGCTTTTTAAATATAGAACCAATTATGCATTCCTGGGGCAAATCTCACTTACTGATTAGATATTAATCTTTTTATACATTGTGAGTTAAATTTACTTTATTTTTGTTAAGGATTTTTGCTTCTATGTTAATATTAGTACTATTTATTCCTCACAATTTGTAAATTGATAAACTTGGTCAATTTCATCAATAAAGTAAGCGGGGTCTGGAGTTTTCTTTCTGGAAAAGCTTTTAATTATTATGAGTTCAATTTTTAAAACTTCATCTTTGTGTATTTTTTAATATCCCTATGGACATTCAAGTTATCTACTGCTTTTTGAGTGAATAATTGTGTTTCTTGGGGAATTTGTTTATTTTATCTGCTGTTGAATTTATTGGCATAATATTAATCTTTCATTGGAGTTCTAATTTGCATTTCTCTAAGGATTAATGATGTTGAGTACATTTTAATGTTTTTATTACCATTTGCAGATATGTCTTTTTCATATACCTATTAATGCTTTTGCCCAGTTTTAAAAGTTAAATTATATACCTTTTATATTGATTTATAGGAATCCTTTATATAATCTGGATACAGTATTCTAGTCCAATACATGTATTGTGAAACTTTTTCCTCGGTCTGAAAATTTTCCTTTCCACTTTCTTGATGGTACCTGAACACAATCCCTATGAAATGAGAGTACCCTTCTTTCTCCTTTTGTTTTCTCTCTACCTTCACCCTTATCAGTATTAGGCAAGTAATTAATTCAGTCAGATTGAGATATGCAAAGGGTTCTAGCTAGTCCTCGCAACACTGGCTTGGATATACCTCTGATCTCCAATCACACAAGACCATTTTGGCAGCCCAGAAACTACCCCTGCTATGTATTCTACCATGAGTAGACCTTAAATGCACACCTCCCACTCTCTCCGTAATACATATGGCAGAATGGTGATGGATCCTTCCTTTGGCAGACTTTCCACAATGCATGGAGCTATGCCTATCCAAGCACATCTCTGCATGGACTAAGGACGGGGTGAATAATTGAGTCAGTGTTCCTGCTTCTTGCTTGTGAGTTTTCCCCAGTAAATCTTGTTTTATGTGTATATTGCCCAGGGCTAGTGCTGTCTACATGTCCCTTTATATGATTGTGCTCTCACAGAATTCTGAGGCTGGAAGGAACAAACGAGTTCTCATAAAGAGAAATTTAATCACCTCTAGAAAGAAGTACATGCTAAAGGCTTTGGAGTTTCTGTGAAAGAAGGGTTTCCTCCTGCCTTAGAGGGTGGGAAAAGTGGGCAATGTCTTCACCAAGTCAGCAACACTAGATTTCAGCCAGAGGCAGAAGTGGGGTTCTCTGATAATGCCCAATTGTGGTTATAGAGGGGCTACATGAGCAAGGCCATGGAGGCGACAATGGATGCATTTGGGCTGAAATGCTATAAATTTAAGTAAAAGGGAAAACTCAGTACGCGTTCCAATGGAAGATGCGGCTTCCTAATATTGTGATTCTCTCATCTGTAATTACTCCACACTCTTTCTCAAATCATTAACACAACTGTGTGCCAGGTAATCATTTAGACCCTTTGCTTGGTACAAGGTAGCCAAGATCTCTACTTAGCCCCCTATTTTTCTCTGGGAAGCTTTTCCTGAGACCTAGAGTCACCATGCTTCTCAGACTTCCCTCTTTCTTATTGTCCTTTCCATTTATATTTTACCTTTAATTGTAGTTTATTTGATTAACATCTGACACTTTTGTGTTTCTCTTTTACTTATTTGTCGTCACTTAATTGTAACTGGCCAGCTGCTGTTAATCAAGTTATATTTTCTGGAGTTACAATGGTTATTTTTTCCTCTAAAGTTTCTATCTCTGTAAGAATTGAGGTAGCAGAGCCTTGTCTTTTTTTAAAACAGGGTCTCTCTCTGTCACCCAAGCTGGAGTACAGTGGTGCAATCGTGGCTCACTGCAGCCTCGACCTCTGAGATTCAAGCAATCCTCCCACCTCATCTTCCCAAGTAGCTATGACTACAGGCACACACCACCACCACTCGCTAACTTTTTTGTTTACATTTTTGGTAGAGATGAGGTCTTGCTACATTGCCAGGTTTCTCTCAAACTCTTGAGCTCTGGTGATCCTCCTGCATTTACCTCCCAAAGTGCTGGGGATACAGGTATGAGCCACCATGCCTGGCTTCTGCTATTGATTTCTAAAATTTAAATGTAGATCAGATTGTCTCCACGCAAGGAGGAAGTCAGACAGGGCAGAGCTTAGCCAATGTCCACGGTTTGTTTTCTCACTGCAGTCTTGGGCTCACCACTCATCTCTTCATACTCTGGCCCCAAATAGCTTCAATCTTCCCAGAAGATTCTCATGGTTTTCAGTTTGTTTCTAGTTTCTTAGTTGTATCTTGTCTGATCAGGTTTCCCTGGGGAAGGAGCCAGGAGATGCTACAAGTCTGCAATTTTATGGGGAGTCAGATCGAGTGCTCTGGTATTTCACACATTTTTATAATATTATCTAAGCCTTCTCTTGTCTGAATATAATGGCTATTCATCATGGGATATGAGGCATCTCAGAAGCAATCTAGATATCTGTTTTGTTTCTTTTTCTAGTAAAGAATTGACCAGTATTCTAGCAATTTTATTTAGTTGAATCAGAAAAATTTTAGGCATTCCTTTTAAAGCAAAAAATACATAGTTTTTCTTAACGTGACTTCTACTGATAGTTTATATGTTTATGATTTTGTGTAGTAGCTTTACCTTCCCTAGGATCAGAAACCACATCAGAAAATCAGCTTATATTATGAAAGGTTTTGGAGAGTTAGGTATGCAGAAAACCCATAAAAAGTACTAAGTTGTAGAACACTGCCATCTGAACTTGAGATAATTTTAACAGGTTTATATCCATGAATACTCCCACAGTAGGGTATTTTTGTGATGGCATCTTGGAAGAGGTACTGGTTATTGATCACATCTCACTGGCACATTGGCTAGTGACTGCTAATGTCAGATGCAGCTGGATTGGAACCTCTTCTCATTGATTTCTCATGGGGTCGTTTGCCTTTGGACTTAAATATCAAGAAATACTTCATAATGACAATATCTAGACTTGCTCTATATATGTAACTATTATTAAAATTCGATGACGGAAATGTCAAATGTCGATATTTAAAGAAATTTGGATTGGAAATAAACTAAATCAGAAGTAGCAAGTGAAGGATAGTGGTTCTATAATGGAATCTTTCTCAGATTCTGTTTTCCCAAGTCTCATGTTTCTTTTTTAAATCCAGTCTGGCCTCTCCTCCTTAGCTTACTAAGTATAGAACCACAAATAGAATCTTAGAAATTTAATCATTTTCTGCACATATCTTTACTCATATATGGGAAAATAGGCAAGAGGATATTGTCAGTGAAATCAGCAAAAAGAGGATTTCTAAAAGAGAGAGTATGGGTGGGAAAGAAACAAATTCCCCAGCAGCATGGCAACAGTGGGTATTGTTTTCTTTATTTTTGGATAAGCTGATTAGTTGGCACGTAGCACAGAGTGGTCTGAAAGGTCTGCTTCGAGCAAGCTGGCTGGAGTCATCACAGAAAAAAGAACTTTAATAATCAATCACCCACAAATCCCTGAGAGTCTGCCTGCAGCGAGGGGGACAGGATGACTTGGTGTGATTTCTGGCACAGTTCTTCCCGTAGCACACCTACATGAGCTAGGCCGGGTTTGCATCATCTCCTTCATCAGAATTTTCTCAAAGGTAAAATGTCTTCTCTATCACTTTTTCCCCTTTTTACAATGCAAAAAGTGCTCTTGAAGGACATAAAATTTAAAATGTGGGGGCTTCTTTTAGTTCCCCTAGAGAAACAGTATAATAGTCAAGATGGTGAAATCGTTCCTAATTTAAACATGTCCCATGCACCGTGTTAGAAAGGCTGTATCCATCAGCTCAGACAGCCACAGCAAATAGCACAGACTGCATGGGTTAAACACAGATCTTTTTTTTTCTCACAACTGCAGAGTATGAAAAGGGGATGCCAGCATGCGGGGCTCTCGTGAGGGCCCTCCTTCTGGCTTGCAGAGCACCCTCTTCCAGTTGAATCCTCACATGGTGGAGAGAGAACAAGCCAGACATCGAGTGCCTCATCCCAGAGGGCATTAATCATACTGGACCAGAGCTCCACTTTTATAAGCTCATGTAAATATAGTTTTCTCTATAAAGACCCTATCGTCAAATATTGTCTCCCTGGGGGTTGTATTTTGGAGGGACATACATATTCAGTCGGTTAACAATGGCAAAATCTTGGTTACCGTGCAGTGGGCCACACGGGGGTGCTGTGGGACCACTGAGCTCCAAATGTCTCTGGGGTGTGCACAGAACCGGGAGCCTGGGACATGGAGGGTTAAGGAGCAGCCTTGCTTGATGTTTGTGCTCACTAAAAATGTGATGGCAGATACGTAAAATTGCAGGTGTGCCTCTCTTCAGGGAGCCATGCACTTCAGCTCTGCTTGGGTTAGGGAGTCTCCGTGAGCTTGCAAGGGAGAATGAAAATGGGCTGTCCAATGCTGGAATGGGACAACCTGCATGTCCCAGGCAGGGACAGACAGAGGAAAAACTGCCTGGAGGGAAAAGCAAAGGAACTTGGCGGGGGACATGCAGCCTAACCTCATTCCAGCTCAGAGCAGCCCAGTCTGACCCCATATGGTATGTGAGAGTATTTACAGCACAAAGCAGAGATCTTGGATCGGGTAAGCCAGGGGCATAACAAGGAAGGCAGGGTGCATGAGAACCTGCAGAGATGACATCAGAGCAGTGACATCACAGCCTAACATCCGATCAGAGATGCGATGCCCAAAACCCCAGCTCTCAGAGAACAAGTATCCCTCGCAGGGTGACACCTGACCAGCTCTGTCCCACCCGGCCATGGGCTCCAGATACCTCTGATCGGAAGGCCTTTGTCTCCTGGGACCCGGTGAGTCCTTGGCACAGGTGGGATGTCTCTGAAGCACCCCTCATCCAAGGCCCCTCAGGCTCCCTCCGGTGTTCTTGCCCCAGCTTTTGTCTCATTCCCTCACAGGCCCAGTGGATTCTGCTGTGCAGAGCAGAGAGCAGTGGACCTCAGGAGGCCTGCAAGGGGAGGACATAGGACAGTGACATCATAGGATGCCCCTCCCACCAGGAAAAGCGAGGCTGAGAATTCAGCTCTTCCCCAGGAGGACCAAACCCTGAGCACAGACACAGTGCTGCCTGTGCCTTGGTGCCACGGGCTCCATGCTGCTCTGCTGGGCCCTGCTTTGTCTCCTGGGAGCAGGTGAGTCCCTGCAGACCGGACAGCACCCCTTTCTGAGCCTGCCCCCCACCCCTGTGTTCTCCACTTTACCTTGGGGAGGTACCACCAGGCTGTCTCCTGTACTCATCCTCCATCTGTTTTTCCCACAGGTCCAGTAGAGGCTGGAGTCACTCAAACTCCAAGATCTCTGATCAAAATGAGAGGACAGCAAGTGACACTGAGCTGCTCCCCTATCTCTGGGCATAGGAGTGTGTCCTGGTACCAACAGACCCCAGGACAAGGCCTTCAGCTCCTCTTCGAATACTTCAGTGAGACACAGAGACAAAAAGGAAACTTCCCTAATCGATTCTCAGGGCGACAGTTCTCTAACTCTCACTCTGAGATGAATGTGAGCACCTTGGAGCTGGGGGACTCGGCCCTTTATCTTTGTGCCAGCAGCTTGGCACAGCCCTACAAAGCCAACCACATTCTGTGCACAAACCTCCCCGGCCCAATGTGGAGCAACCTCAGCCCTGACATATCTGTGAGAACCTGGGGACTGCAGGGAGAAAGAAAGGCAATTTAGAATGCTAGGGCCCACAGCCTGGGGCTTTCTGCAATTCAGGGTTGCAGGAAACAAGGGCTGGAGGAAACAAGGCCAAGAGAGCCTTGGGTACTGCTTCCACAGGTTGACTGCAACATTACCTTCTTTGCCGACACTGTAAGCTACAGGGATAGCGGAAATGTTTGTAATTTAACAGCTGGCGCGCTCTCTTTCAAGACAAGGGATTTAATTTTGTGGTCAAGATTGTTGATAACAGCGTCGTGTAGAAGGGAGAATAACAGGGTTTTCTTTATACAACTTGGGGAGAAGAAATCGAGATTTTGGGAAAGTCAAGGATAGAGAAAACGAAAGATGATTGAAAATAGAGCAGAAGGTGATGAAAAGTGGTGTTCTGTGCACCATGAACTCTCTTCTCCCCCCTCCCAAAGTTTTCAATACCTAGAAAAATTAAGGAAAGGTCTTATAGCAACTAAAATCACCTGGTAGCCAGTCCCAGTTGGAGACATCACCAAAGAGCCGCTTGGCCACTGGGAGAGCCCTAGAGCTGCTTCTGCTGTCTTCCTTCTGGCCCTAATCTCGACTCCTCAGGCCACAGTCAGGTACTTCCCAAAACACAGAGGAAGGTAAAGTCACCCTTGTTCCTAAAGGGGCAAATACTTTCCAGTTTTCCCCCAAATACATTCTGTGACCCTGGGATTCCTTTCTGACACTCACCTCCCAGATCCAATTACCTTCTATGACCAAATGCTCTTCGAACATTTTCTAAAACTCAGCAGCCTTTTCATCCTCTGCGTTTGTCCTCACTACTTCCATGGCCTGGGAGGACCTTTGTTCTCCTAAGACGGGGTCACATGCCAATCATCTGTCAAGGACAGGCTCACATCTGCCTTCCTCTTCACATCTTACTGTGACATTCCCTGGGACTGTACTGTATCAGTCTTTTCCCTTTATTTTCATAGGAAAAGTCAAGTGTATAATTGATACTCTTTGATGTTTGTAAAACTAATAAGTTATTGCCCTCTTATACAGAATCCTGGAGCGTGATTAAGGGACTCCACTTGAAATAGCATGCAGAATGATTATGAATAGTCTTAGTATTTCATGTAACTTCTGTAGTATTCCTAGCAATTGTGTCTTCACACAGGATTGATGACCAGTGCTGTTAAGTATCCAAAGTATATCTAATGCTGGAATTTGCAAATGTTCTTTTGGAGTGAAGAAAATTATGTTATTTGTGCTGATTGAAGAATCACTAAAGAAAGAAAATTATGGTACAGTAATATTCATAAAGACTCATAATCCTGCAAAAAACTTCCTCACCATAACCACACTTTCCACAACCACATTTTTAGAGATTTGGTGAGGGTGGAATATAGTCAAAGGTGCTTGTTAATCACCCTTGATGAAATCAACCTAAATCAACCTAAAACATTGAAGAAAAAAAAAAAAAACTAGTTTTGCTCAGTAACGGAATCTTATCATCCTTGACAATGAAAAGATATGTGTTTGTGAGTGTGTGTGTGTGTGTGTGTGAATGTGTGTGTGTGTTTTCTTGTGGATATTCACTCACATAGAAATAGTTTCTCCCCTGGTGGCATTTTATGAGGTGCTGGGTCACTAGCAGAACTCCTAAGCACTTCTAGGTAAGGAGAGGAAATAGTAGACCTAACTGAATCTGCCTAAGTTATAGCTGATAAGATAGTTTATTTCAAGATTGTATAAATTCAGAAATAAATTTGTAAAATCAAAAAATCCTCTTTATAAAATGTGCTAACTAAAATTTGTGAATAAACTAAACACAATGTGTGAAAAGATGTGGGTCTGACTAATCAAAGGGAGCTCTGCAATGTAGTATTTTCAGCCCAGATTGGCTTGATATTGTCACACTGTTTCATCCTGTGACTTGTATAATTCTGGCTCCTCTCTTCCATCTTAGGATGCTCATTGCTATAATGTAACAGTAATTTATTGTGCAATCAAGATGTGTCCTTTTGTCTCCATTGGCCAAGGGTGAATGTGAAGTTCCACCCTAAATCAGCCCTTCCGGGAAAGCAATAGAGAGGGTGTGTGTGAGAGATAATGGGGTCTGCAGGGGTTGGAGTGGGGGCATCCCTGTTCTTAACTTGGACAATCCTGAGCTCATCAGGTCAGGTGTGAATCCATGGGGCTGTGGAAAGTTGGCCACTTGGGGGCGCTGTGGCTCCACAATGCTGCAGGGAACCCTGGGGAGGGGTGCCAGGGTGGCCAGGAAAGGAGGGTGGAAGGGAATGCCTGGCTGCCTGCTGGCATCAGGAGATTAGGTGGATATTAGAGTAGGTTCTGGCCTGGGACTGCCCAGGGAAAGGTAGGGCCGGGGTTTGCACCAAGCAGGGAGTGTCTCTGCCTCTGCATGGGCAGTGGAGAGTGTACGGGCTGGGGTGGCAAGGTCTGGGAATCAGTGTCAAGGCAGGGACAGGGTAGGCAGAGGAAAGTGAAGTGTGATGTGGGCATGTGGGGACTGTGCCCAACCACCTCCCCTTTAGTTGAGGGTCTGTGGGCGACAGGAATGCTGCATGGAGCTGCTGAGCCTGGGTCTTTCAATGGGTGAACAAGGCAAGACTGGCCTGCAGAGATAGTACCTGGAAAAGGCCAAGGCAAGGAATTGGGTAACACTTTCCTACCCCCACTCAGGGAGTGACCTGAGGAGGGTGCTGCCAGCCAGAGGGGCTCAGGTCCTGGTGAGCTGACAGGCTTTTCCCCCTGACACTTCCTGTTGCTTCTATATATGATCTGGTTTAACGCTCACTGAAATCATGTAAGGTAGGTATAATTTCACCTGTTTATACATCTGAAGGAAAGCAGCTGTCCTGGGTCTCATATTAAGTAATTGGCTGAGGTGTTTTCCTCCGACACCTCTGCACCAGCCCTCTCCCCTGACTCTACATATCTGTCCCTTCATCTGGCTTCCCCTTTCCAGGTCCCGTTAGCAGGAGGGCAAGGTCATGCCTCATATGTGACCATTATAACCTCTTCCCTGACAAGTCCAAGTTACACATGATTTCCAGGCTAAGCGTATCCATTCACCTTCACTGAAGCAAAACAGAAGGATGAAATTTTCCGCACTGTAGACTTCCTGAAACTGATACAATCTACCTTGAGGAAAAGTAACAAGAAAAATTGTTATTCATTCATTATTATTTTATTTATTTTATTTGATATATGTTTGGAGGTCCTTTCTTTGTATAGACATTTTATGACAAAAAATGCAAAATGAAAAAGGAACAAATGAAAATAAGAACAGCTTTAATGAATGATAAACATGTTTCTTACCTTTTAGAGTATTAAGGTTTGCATTAAACTTTTTTTAACTTATTCAAAATAGTTTGTTCAGTTTCTGAATTATACAGATTTCCTTTTTTTCTTCTCTTTCTCTCTTTAGCCACCTACACCTTTTTCTGCTAGCTTTTTTAGTTTAATAACCGAAGGCTATCTTTTAAACAGAATTTTTTTTTTTTTTTTTTGAGACAGAGTCTCACTCTGTCGCCCAGGCTGGAGTGCAGTGGTGCGATCTCGGCTCACTGCAAGCTCCGCCTCCCGGGTTCACGCCATTCTCCTGCCTCAGCCTCCCGTGTAGCTGGGACTACAGGCGCCACCGCACCAGGCTAATTCTTGTATTTTTAGTAGAGTTGTGGTTTCACCGTGTTAGCCAGGATGGTCTCGATCTCCTGACCTTGTGATCCGCCCGTCTCGGCCTCCCAAAGTGCTGGGATTACAGGCGCGAGCCCTAAGCAGATTTTTAAATGTACAACATAGTATCGTAATCTACAGACACAAGGTTAGACAGTAGATCTCTAAAACTTCTTCATCCTTCTTTACTGAAATTTTATAGGTACTGACGGCAGCCGCCCATTTGTCCCATTTCCCAGCCCTTGGAAATTACCATTTTTCATCTTCACTTACATGAGTTTGACTTTTAGGTTGCCTCATATAAGCACAGTCATGTAGTATTTGTCTTCCTGTGCCTGACTTTTTCAACTCAGCATAGTGTCCTCCAGGTTTAGCCACGTTGTCAGGTATGGCCAGATTTTCTTCTTTTTAATGCTTACTGATACTCCACTGTATGCATACACCACATTTAAGGTGTGAATATTAAATATATAGTATCTTATTGTTTCTGTGAAACCGTCTGTCACACGAGCAGCAGGGTCATTTGCAGAACAGCAAGCACTGAGTATATGAATGCACATTCATTCGAAGTTCAATTCTGCTTCATAGAGAAGATTTCAAAAAATAATAATTTCATTATTTATTGTTATTTTACTCTACAAAAATAGAATTTCTTTTTTCTTTTTTTTGATACAGAGTCTCGCTTTGTCACCCAAGCTGGAGTGCAGTGGCATGATCTTGGCCCACTGCAACCTCCACCTCCCAGGTTCAAGTGATTCTCCTGCCTCAGCCTCCCGAGTAGCCGGGATTACAGGCGTACACTACCATGCCCAGCTAATTTTTTGTATTTTTAGTAGAGATGAGATTTCACAGTGTTAGCCAGGATTGTCTCAATCTCCTGACCTCGTGATCCGCCCACCTCGGCCTCCCAATGTGCTGGGATTACAGGTGTGAGCCGCCGCACCCAGCCAATACCATAAAATATTTAGCATATAGTAGACATCTAGCTATTTTTATTTCCTTTGCTAATCTCAGGCAGCCTCTTCCACTGTGCCAATGTCCAAAGGCAGATAAAGACACATTTTGCCTGGAAATCTTAGGGTAAGGGCTCAGGAAGTCACAAAAATGGCAATATATATGCATGATGATTACTTTGAAAGTATTAACTAGAGAACATAGCATATATCCCACCTCAGACATTTAAAACTCAATATTATTGATATATAAGTTATATAAACATTACAAATCTTAAATAAACAGATCGGTTATACATAACTAAATAATTAACAGAACAAGGAGCTCCTGAAAAGTTGTATGGTTTTAAAAGGGGTTGAAGCCAAGTGAGCTACCAGATCCACATTAGGGACAATTCTGTCTGGAGATGGATGTTGTGATAAAACAACCTCAGAAGGTCTTCCAAGCTGGTACAGGCTGATTTCACAAAGTTTATTTTCATTCATCTCTTTTCTTATCTGTTCATTTACTCAAATTATTTTATAATTTTGGCAAAAATTAATCATCTTTAAGGGAAATATTTTGAGTTTCATCAGACACATACGCAGCTGAGCTTTGTGTCCACATACTGAGTGCCCTGGGACCAAACAAAACACAGTGATAGTGACCTTGCTGAGAGACGACGTCACATTGGGAGAAAGGTTCCCTTTGTGTTGACTCTAAGTGTCCAATCATGAGTCCTAAGCCTTGAGCTAGGAAATGCCCTTTTCTGCCCTGGGAAGCAGGCTCCTAGGTTGTGTGTTTGTCTGTCTCCTGGTCTAGCCTGGGCACAGACAGGGCACTCCCTCATGAACTTGTTACATCCGGGCTGTGACTTTCAGCACCAGGTGGTCCTTTGCTCTGACTTCGATTTCTGTGTCCTTCTCTCCTAAACCCCATGGATGCTGAGTGACTCAGACTCCAGTCATGTGCTTGTGCCAAAAGGAAACCAGCACAAGAGGAGGTGAGCAGAATATGAAACCAAACCATGTACTCAGGACAGTCAATGAGACTTACTGGCAGCTCCTTTGCTCAAATATTGTAAGGAAGTTGAAGATCATGACAATGTTACAGCAACAGGGGTCTTTGTAAGTGTGGAGCTCTGTGCACTAAGATATAGTTTTTGAGCCTTTTTTTTTTTTTTTTTTTTGAGACAGAGTCTTGCTCTGTTGCCCAGGCTGGAGTGCAGTGGTGCAATCTTGGCTCGCTGCAACCTCGTCTCCTGGGTTCACGTGATTCTCTTGCCTCAGCCTCCTGAGTAGCTGGGATTACAGGTGTGCACCACCATGCTGGGCTAATTTATTATTATTATTATTATTATTTTGTATTTTTACTAGACACGGGTTTTCACCATGTTTGTTAGACTGGTCTTGAACTCCTGATCTCATGATCCGCACACCTCAGCCTCCCAATGTGTTGAGATTACAGGCATGAGTCACCGTACCCGGCCTTTTTTTTTTTTTTTTTTTTAATTGTTACTGAATTACTGGTGAGAATCCTGACCAAGGGAATATTTCCTATGAAATATGACACTTCAAATAAAATGGAAGCACTTTTTCTTATCCTGGAGCCTGCCTCCTCTCTCCTCTACGCATGTACCTCACACATCAAGACACGCTTGTGCCCACAGATCATGGGCAGTGCTGGGCAGCCACCATCGTCCACACAGTGAGGGCAGTCAGAAGCGTGAGGTGGTTCTGCCTGCTGGGGTCTCACCCCAGGCACAGAAAACAACAGCTCTGGGAGGAGCTGAGGCTTCTCAGCTGGGCTTGTCAGGAGTCCCATCTGTCAGTGAATTGACAAGAAACAGAACAAAACGACTCCTCCCAAGTTGATGAGCCTGCCCCTGGGATTTGGAAACTTGGTAACAGAGAAAACCAATATAGACAAAAGATTGTAAACAGGATTAAGGTCAGCTAAGCAAATTAGAAAAGGATACATGAAGGAGTATTTGGGACACAGGAGTCAAAAACACCAGGAAGACATGAGGAGTGTCCGTAAGTGTCTAAATTAGAGAAATATTTAGGTAACTAACACCAGTGTATGAATGAGGAATTACATCATCACAGGGATAAAATTTACATTGAGTTACAAACTGCTTACAAAAAGGCTAAGAAAAGCTTGTAAGGTTGTGTCAATTCAGACAAAGGCATTCTTCCCATCCAAACTGTTCACTGGTGCATTTATTGTGAATTTGACCATCTAGGGAAGAGGTGTGGCCTCTCCTGACAGGAAGGCTCTGGGGCCCAGGGAGGGAGAGTGACATCTCAGAATGACTCCCTTGACAGTCCTGTTCCCCTTTCATCAATGCACAGGCCCAGAAGATCCCTCTGTCCTGCAGCACCTGCCATGAGCATTGACCTTCTGTGCTGTGCGGCCTTTTCTCTCTTGTGGGCAGGTGGGTCCTAGGCAGGGCCCCTGTCTGGAATTCAAGGCCCAGCGCCTTCCCTTTGGGGCTGCAGCATCAGCTTTGTCCTTCTCTGCAGGTCCTGCAAATGCTGATGTCACTCAGAGCCCAAAATTCCAGATCCTGAAGACAGGACAGAGCATGACACTGCAGTGTGCCCAGGATATGAACCATGACTCCATGTACTGGTATCGACAAGACCCAGGTATGGGGCTGAGGCTGATTCGTTACTCAGCTACTGAGGATACCACTGACACAGGAGAAGTCCCCGATGGCTACAGTGTCTCCAGATTAAACAAAACGGATTTCCTGCTCAGGCTGGAGTCGGCTGCTCCCTCCCAGACATCTGTGTACTTCTGTGCCAGCAGTGAAGCCACAGTGCTGCACGGCCGTCTCCTCTCTGTACATAAAGGCAGGGAGGCTCTGCCGTCCTCTCTCACCCCAAACTCAGTGATGCCCTGAGCAGAGTTCTCTGCACCAGGGACCTTGAAACCCCATCATCATGGGTCTGAGGCCCCCAGGATGAAACAGGATTTGTATTTCAGATCCATCTAGACTCTCGTCTCTCCCTGGGGACCGTGTTGCTTCCTCTCTCTAGGGTTTCCCCCAGCCTACTCTCTCATGTTAATGAATGACAGGCTGATTGAGTGACGAGCAGGTGGATGAACCAATAACAGGAACACTCCAGGTCCGCTGTACCCTGGCAGAGATCTAGAGTTAACTGTGCCTGAGATGCTCTGCTATGAGCTTATCAAAGGGCACTTGCTTGTTGAACAAGCATTGGACCATTCATTGTGTAAGCCAGTTTGTCAGTTCGTCTAGGAATTTCCAATTTAAAATATCACATGCTCTTCAAACTCAATGAGGGTAAAGTCTACATTATATAATTCTAATATCTAAGTTTTTTTTTAAGTTTTGGGTTAAGAACCAAAAAGGAAAGAAGAGGGAATATCTTTAGACTTAGTATTTTTTTATTGAAAATGTATTTATATAATTTTTTCTTGGAAGAACAGGTAGGGGAAGTCATGACTACACAGCCTTATAAGTGCTAATTTATGGAGACGGTATCATGAAAAATAACAAATACAAGAACTGTGTTCTGGAGGGAACATTGTGACTGTCCTGAGAGTACGTTCTGACCCCAGGAACCAAAGCCAGGAGAGTATTTGGCAACTCAGAGTGCAGCAGACAATTCTTGGCCCTCTGCATTTGGGATGAGACTGGAGACAGCTGGAAAAGCTATGGGCTGGACGTTCTGCACTCTCAATGCAGGCCTCTCTGAAATCCCACAGATTAATGTCAGGTAAATATACTCCCACTATTAAGACAAAACCAGAACCAATGAAGAAAAATGAGTAGAAACAGTAAGCGGTTGAAATGTATGAAGACAAGGAATTTTGCCATTAAAAGTTATAAAAGTTAAAGAGCCATATTTAAAGGAATACAGGAGCAAATGGATATGTGAACAAGAAAAAGGAGACTGTCAGAAATCATCAAGGAAACATTAGAAATAATCAAAGAGAGTACAGTAATGATTAAGATTATCATTGAAAACAAAGTGGAAATGAAGAAAAGATGACATGCTTCTAAAGAGACTGTTACTGAGGTTAAAGCCAGATCTGAAGAAGTTACCTAGAATGCGGCACAGAAAATTAAATAGGAAACAAGAAAAGGTAAGGGATAAAGAATAAAAATCTTGTGGGTTCTAGTATATTAGGATATATATAATATTTTGTTGGAACTTCCCATTTTTCTTATACATGATTGAAGTGTCACAAAGAGAAAGTGGAGAGAATGATAGGTGATAATTATGAGACATTAGCTGAGAATTTTCAAGATGTGTTTCAGGACCTAAATCCTCTGTTTCAACAAGTTAAATGAATATGAAGTAGATGAACACATATGTTATAGTGAAATTGTAAAACGCAAATGACAAAGAGAAGATTTTAAAAGTAGCCCAAAAGATAACTATCTCCCAGAAGAATAGACTGTAAGGCACAGTGAAAGTCAAGAAAGGAGATTAAAAATAAGCACCAAGTCAGAATTATAATTCTCGTTCATTAAATACTGAGATTGAGGTAAATATATTTATAGGTAGAGAAAGAAAAAACACGGTGAGTTTGTCACCAAGGTATCCTTTCTGAATTATAGTTAACAAAGATGGCAGGTGGTCCCAGAAGAGAGGGATGAGGTGCCTCTCATGAGGGAACCCATGTGATGGAACAGTCCCGTTGGGCACGTGTGACTGGGGGATGCAGGAGGCTGGCGCATGCATGGGGATGGCAGAGGGGACCCTGACTTGCAGGAAAGACAATGAGCTCACCGTTCGGTGCCTTGTGTTGGTGCAGCTGTTGACACATCCTAGAGAACATGCCCAGCAGACAGAGGAGCGGCTGTGGGATGAGGAGATGAACTCAGAGATGCAGTGTGAGGCCTCCATGTCCAGATAGCATGGGAGCCCAAAGCAATGATACATGCATTGATATTGTTAAAAAGGAATTTTTTTTTTTTTTTTTTTTTTTTTTGAGACGGAGTGTCGCTCTGTCACCGAGCCTGGAGTGTAGTGGCACAATCTCAGCTCACTGCAAGCTCCGCCTCCCAGGTTCCAGCCATTCTCCTGCCTCAGCCTCCCCAGTAGCTGAGACCAGAGGCACCCGCCACAACGCCCAGCTAATTTTTTGTATTTTTAGAAGAGACAGGGTTTCACCATGTTAGCTAGGATGGTCTCCATCTCCTGATCTCATGATCTACCCACCTCGCCCTCACAAAGTGTTGCGATTAAAGGCGTGAGCTACCACATCCGGCCTAGAAAGGAATTTATAAGCTGGGCGTGGTGGCTCACACCTGTAATCCCAGTACTTTGGGAGACCAAGGTGGGCGGATCACTTGAGGTCAGGAGTTTGAGAACAGCCTGGGCAATATGGTGAAACCCCGTCTCTACTAAAAATACAAAAATTAGCCTGGTATGGTGGTGTGAGTCTATAATACCAGCTACTCAGGAGGCTGAAGCAGGAGAATCACTTGAACCCAGAAGGCAGAATTTGCAGTGAGCCGAGATCACACTGCTGCACTCCATTCTGGGCAACAGAGCAAGGCTCTGTCTCAAAAAACAAACAAGCAAAAAGCAAGGAACTCACAAATATTTAAAGAAGTCATTTAAGTGTGTTCTAATGTAAATCCTTTGTTCCTGTCATTGCGTGGATTGAGAGAGGAAGTGATGTCACTGTGGGTACTTCCGTGTAAGGACAGGAATGTCCCTCTTCCTCTGCTCCTGCTTATGGAGACTCTGATCTTGCAAAGCTCCCACGCTGCCCTGACTCTGCCATGGGCACCAGGCTCCTCTGCTGGGCAGCCTGTGTCTCCTGGGGGCAGGTGATTCCTCAGACACCAAGCAGTCTCAGTGTGTGTGTGTGTGTGTGTGAGAGAGATGGGTGAGAGAGAGATGACTATAGTTGTTTTTCTCATTCAGTTCCCAATTTCTGTCTCCACAGACCACACAGGTGCTGGAGTCTCCCCATCCCTGAGACACAAGGTAGCAAAGAAGGGAAAGGATGTAGCTCTCAGATATGATCCAATTTCAGGTCATAATGTCCTTTATTGATAACGACAGAGCCTGGGGCAGGGCCTGGAGTTTCCAATTTACTTCCAAGACAAGGATGCAGCAGACAAACTGGAGCTTCCCCGTGATTGGTTCTCTGCAGAGGCCTGAGGAATCTGTCTGCATTCTGAAGATCCAGCGCACACAGCAGGGGGACTCGGCCATGTATCTCTGTGCCAGCAGCTCAGCCACAGCGTGGCAGAGTCACTTCCTTCTTGCTCACAAACCTCATCCTTCTCTCTCCTTGCAGCTCCTGCAAACCCTTAACAGAGGATTTGCTCCTCTATTTGCTCCTCCTTCTCCAGGAGAAAGAAATAGATTTGGACCTCAGCTGTCCACAGATTCACCCCTGAGACACAGTAACTGTAAATGTGGGTGGTGGAAGCAATCGTGGCCCATCAGGCTCCAGGAGTCCTCAGAGCCAACTCACTGCTCTAAGGCAAGCACTAGGTGTCTTAGCCTCGGCCTTCAGGACTGGGACACGCAGTTTTCTTCGGGGCTGGGAGGTTGCTGCCCACATACAGAAGCTTCGGGCATGGGCGGGGAACAGGCCTCTTCCCTTGCGTGTGTTGAGGCATCTGGCATCTGCAAGGTCTGATGCTTCATCCACAAAAATATTCATTCTTTCTTCTGAAGCCTCTTCTATCCCTATCACATTGAAAGTTTTCTGCATACAGGGGCACACACTTCTTCATGTTTGACTTGAACGTCTTTGTGACTTTTGTGGCTGTTACTTGATGAATACAGCCATGATAACAACAAGACTTCATTTATTCTGCCTAATGTAAGCAATGTGTGTTCTTTATTTTGTTTTCCATTACCACTGCTCCTGTCCTGGGAGACCGAAGCTGCGTGCACAACTGCTCCAGTGTCAGCTTGGCTCCCTAGGAAATGGCGTTTCTAGAACCTGAATGCTGACAAATAAGAGTTGTATATATGTATACCACGCAACCTGCCATTTAAAAATGTATGTCCGTAGTGCAATGACTAAATCTAGCTAATTAACATATGCAGTACCTCAATCCTTATCCTTTCCAGTGGTGAGAATACTTGAAATGTACTCTGTTAGCATTTTCCCAGAATACAATCCACTGCTACTAACTCTAGTCATTTGTTGTGTAATAGATCTTTGTAACATCTTCGTCTTATCTGAGTGAAATTTTGTATCTGTTGAGCAACATCTTCCCAACAGTCCATCTCTACTCCAGCCTTTGCTAACGACCACTCTAGTCTTTGGATTTGAAGTAATTTCCCTGAGGTCTTTAACTCAAGACGATGGGGGAACTTTCTCTATAATGATGCTTATATTACTTTTGTTTTGTTTGTTATTTTACATCTTGCAATATAGGGTTTGCTGCAAATATAAATAATTATATTGTAATAAAAATCCTTGACCTGTCTTTGGGTGAAGCTACAGTTCACATATTTGAAATTTCAAGCTGTGACCAAAGCTGACATGATTATGTATCATGGATTTCTGGGAGTCCTCAGAGACAGCCCTGTACACCGAGGCTAAGATAGAATATTCCAGACCCAGCCAGGACAGAAGGGCATGGTCCTGCACAGCTCCTTGGAAAATTATAGTTCCCCAAATTCACTTATCAGATATTTTGGTGCCGCAGGCACCAAATTTTCTTTCTCTCATAAATGATGGTTCTTGGCAGGGATTGTTCTGAACCCACTATAATTTTGCCATCATCAAATCACACCTTGTGTGGAAGCCCTGGCCACAGATGGAAATTCCCTGACCTTAGTATGCTATTTCAAAGACTTCCTAAGACCTTATATCCATCTTTTTCCACCTTCATTCCCATGATCCGTGAGACCCACACTCCCAATAGCGGACCAGCTCTGATTCTTATGCTTGAACAGAACTCAGACCACAGCTGCAAACACTGTTGCTGAAAGAAGATGTAAAAAAGGCAGGCAGAGTTTCCTACCTACACTGAGGGTGAACATACAAGGGCAGAAAGGGAATATTTTATTAATAACCAAAAAAAGAAGGAATAAAGGCCCTGCTGTAATGGAATGTGAACTGTAGCTTCACCCACAGAGAGGTGGAAGATTTTATTACAATATACTTATTTATATTCATAACAAATAATATATGTGAAAAATAAAGAAAACAAAAAGTAATATAAGCATTCTTACAAAGAAAATATCCCCATCTTCTTGAGTTAAAGACCTCAGGGAAATTAAGCCACATCAAAAGACTAGAGCAGTAATTACCAGAGGCTGGGTTGGAGATGGGGTGCTGGGGAGATGCTGGTCAAAGGATACAAAATTTCACTCAGATAGGAGGAAGAAGTTTAAAAGATCTTTTACACAACAAAGTGACTGGAGTTAGTAACAGTGGACTACATTCTGGGAAAATGCTAACAGAGTTGAATTTTTGAGTCAAACAAAAGCAGAATGTCCATAAAATTATTTTGAATCAAAGTCTAGAAGCTTTCAAACCAGCTGTGTTCTGTGATCTCAGCAGCTTCAGAAGATTTGGCAATCCTTTCTCTGCACAAACACCCCTTTGTCCGCTCTGAGAACTAGGGACACACACTCTTATGCTATCATGAAAACAACAGGCTGTGCTATAGTTGCTGGTAACTCGTTTTAAGGGTGTTGAGTGTGAAACATTGAACAAGATTGAAAGCTATGCTGCTGAGTCTGGGAATGTGCTGCAGCCAGTTAGCACGATTCAGAAGAACCAAAGAGGCAAACCCTTCCCAAATCCTCATTCAATGAAGCCATGTTGACAGCTTGAAATCCGCCATGGTGGGTGTGTTGATACCATAGAAACTGGCAAATGCTACTAGGCATGGCCCCACCCTCACAGACATCCAATTTACCAGGACATCACTGGAATGTTTTCTGATACAATGATGTTCCTATTAGGGCATGTCTTATGGGGCCAAAAAGGCTCAGAATCCACCTTCCCTCTGTTTCTGCTCCTACAAGCCATAGTCTAAGGGAATCTCAAGTGATCCTATTTCTATCCAATCTCCAAATTCCCTCGCTCTGTGGGTCTGTGTCTCCTATGAGCATGCCAGTCTGAAACAAGACAACTATTTGGAATGTAGCTAAAGGAAACAGTGAACCAGTCCATTATTTTCAAATTATCCTTCCTTGCATGAAATATATAGATGCTGCAATCACTGGGAACAGAGATGGGGCAAGCAGAAGCTCTAGGCTGTGAGCCATTTTAAACTATAGTGCACCACTATTCCTCTGTGGCACTGACAGACCCTGCAGCACGGACTAATTTACATAGGAAACTAAGCAGCCCCCGACCAGTCAGGTATGACCTTGGATTCATTTTGGGATGAGAGGTCAGAAGGATCATACTCACCTTAAATATTATCCTCTCCAAGCTACAATACTCCCACCGTCCGTCTTAGTCCCAGGATGTCATCCAGAGCTCCAGAGAATCCCTTCTCTTCGGGCAGAATCACCGAGGTTGCTCCCTCCAGATTTCCGCAGTCTCCAGCAGGTATGGGGCACAGGTAATGTAATATAATGTATAAGTAATATAAGCATTCTTATAAAGAAAATACCCCCGTCTTCTTGAGTTAAAGACCTCAGGGAAATTAAGCCACATCAAAAGACGAGCAGTAATTACCAGAGGCTGGTTCTTTCTCTTAGGTAGAGAGAAGCATCATGTCAAATGATATTTGTGTAAGAGGAATTAAAATTCTGAGGTTCCTCTCAAATATTTGACATAATTTTCTTTGTTTATTGTTTCATTCTACAATCTCACAATTTAGGAGAGCAATTCTTTTGTGGTTGCATTGTTTACAGCATTTGGGAACGTTCTTGTGGTTAAATTAATTTAAACAATCATTTTAATTGTGCATTTATTCTGTTCACACATAGAACAGTGAAAGCAGTCATTGACACAGCCTATGATGAAGGTGTTGTTTAAGGTTCAAATCCACACCTAACTTTCAATCTAGTTGGAATGAAAAGATGCAGAATTAGGTGGCACATGCTGTGAGAGAGGCTCATGCCAATCACTGTGGGATTTGGAGGGAGGGAGGGATGACCTCTACTTTAGACCATGCTCCACAAAGAAGGAGTGGGAGTTTGTCCATGGGAAACTGCAGAGGAGTAAATAGCAGCAGCTTCTAATTAGGGTGGAGTGAGGGCTGTGGGAGCAAATCCTTGGAACAGGTGCTTTTGAGCTCTCACAGAGGACAGTGGAAAGAAAAGTCAAATAAGCCCCAGTCCCCTGGCAGGTTCTGCTTGCTAATGATACTATTTTGTACCAGTGTGTCCTTATCTCACATCACTCTTCTACCTCTTCCAGAATAATCCCTTCCCTCTCCACTGCTCAGATCAGCAAATGTGCATTGTAGAAGTTACTCATTTCACATAGCAGGCCTTTTGCTGGTCTTAATTATATCCATCCTTACTTTCCACATAAGATACTGTTTATTGCCTTGCAAATGATCCTACTTTTTATATTCCAGTTTTCACTTGTTAATACATACTTGACCCCTTCTTGAAGGTCAAGATGACCTTGGAGATAATAAAGCTATCTCATTATCTGGTCAGTCTTTTACTAATCTTTATTTCTATGGTAATATTGATTGTCATTTTGGGGGACATGTTTGTTTATCTTGAATTTCATTGAGTTTCCTTAAAACATCTATTTTGAATTCTTTGTCTAAAAGGTCGCATATCTCTGTCTGTCTAGGGTTGGTCTCTGTTTTATTTATTTATCTATCTATTTATTTATTTATTTATTTATTTTGAGAAATTACCGACTTCACCGGCCACTGTACACTACCGGGGTAGAGGAAACTTTTTGTGGTTTCATAGCTTGGGCCTTCTTTTTTCAGAGCAGGGAATTTCATTTTGGGGTCAAGACTGTTGAAAATGGCATAGTGAAGAAGGTAGAGTCACCGGGGTTTGCTTTATATACTTGAGGAAGCAAGAACTGAGATTTGGGAAAGGTCAAGAAAAGAGAACCTGATCAAAGATGGCTGAAAATAGAAATAGAGCAGAAAGCAATGAAAAGTGGTGTTCTGTGCACCATGAACGCTCTTCTCCCCACTCCAAAAGTTTTCTATACCTAGAAAGTATGAAGAAAGGACTGATAGCAACTGGAATCACGTTGCAGCCAGTTCCAGTTGGGAAAAACACCAAACAGCCTCTTGTCGGGTGTAAGAACCCTGAAGTTGGTCCTGATGTCTTCCTTCTGGACTTCTGGACCTAATCTTAACACCTCAGGGAAGTCAGGCACTTCCCAAAATACAGAGAAGGTCAAATTGCCTTTGGTTTTGAAGGAGAAAATGCTCTGAGCTTCTCCCCAAGATAAACTCTGCTCTCCTAGGAATGCTTTCTCACACTCGTCATCCACATCTGATTGCCCTCTGTGATCGAACGGTTTTTGAAGATATTGGAAAACTGCAGCCTTTAACATCCTCTGCGTTGGCACTCACTGTTTCCATGGCCCAGAAGGACCTTCATTTTCCCACGACAGGGCCAGACGCTGCCCATCTGTCAAGGACGGGCTCCCACCTGTCTTGCTCTTCCCTTCTCTCCCTGGCATTCTCTGGCACTCTATGATATCACTCTTTTTGTTTTCACAGGCCAAACCAAGAATAAAATGGAAACTGCCTGATGTTTATAAAATGAATAAATTGAAGTTCACTTATACAGACCTGTGGAATATTACGAATTACTATCTTCTCTTTACAAGAGACTTCTCCTGTGTGAAATAGACTGGAGAGTCTTCAGGAATAGGCTCAGTTTTCTCCACAAATTCTGCAATATTCTAAGTAATTCTGTCTTCACAGTCATAATTGATGACTTGTTCTCTAAAGTACCCGAACTGTGTTTAAAACCAGAATTTGTAAATGTTCTTCTGGGAAAAAAGAAAATCATTATGTTTTAGTAACATTTATCCAGCCTCACGATCTTGCTGAGAAATATTTCTCATCATACCCACACTTTCCATGACCACATCTTCAGAGATTCGGTGAGACTGGGAACATCAACAATGATCCTCCTTAGAAACCAACCTAAAGCACCGAGAGGAAAAGTAGCTGTGCCGGTAATTGAACTTCAGCAGACTTGTCCATTAAAATGTATTGTGTGTGCATGCTTGTGAGCTTGTGACTGTGAGTATGTTTGCTTTCTTTTCTTTTTTGGAAATGGAGACTTGCTCTGTTGCCAGGCTAGAGTGCAGTGGCAATGTTGCTTCACTTCAACCTCCACCTCCCAGGTTCAAGCGATCCCAGGTTAAACGATTCACCTGCCTCAGCCTCCTGAGTAGCTGGGACTACAGGTGTGCGCCACCACGCCCAGCTAATTCTTGTATTTTTAGTACAGATGTGGTTTCACCGTGTTGGCCAGGATGGTCTCGATCTCTTGACCTCGTGATCCACCTGCCTCGGCCTCCCAAAGTGCTGAGATTACAGCCATGAGCCACTGTGCCCAGTCATGAGTGTGTTTTCTTGTGGAGATGCAAATAGTTTCTGTGGGCGGCATTTACTAAGCGTCAGTGGATCACTGGTAGAGTTCATAGACACTTTCCTAACCCCAGTGACAGGAAATGTGACAGCCAACTGAATCTGGCTAAGTCATAGATGACAGGGTGGTTTATTTTAAAATTTTACAAATTCAGAAATAAATTTGTAAAATCAAGAAATCCTCTCTTATAAAACACATGATGTAAAATTTAGTGATATTAATTTAAATACAAAATATGAAAAGATTGGGTCTGATTGAGAAAAGGATCCGGGGAACAGTGCAGTGTTTCTGGGCTAGGTGGGCTTGACATCCTCACACTGTTTAATGAAGGGTCTGTTTAATTCTGGCTGCTCTCTAAGTGCGACAATTATTTATTTTGCAATCAAAAGATTGGTTCCTGTGTCCCTTTGGCCTGGGGTGAATTTGAAGATCAACCCTAAATTGGCCTTTTGGGTAAAGCATAGAGGGTGTGAGGATGGGGGTTGCAGGGGTGAGAATGGGGCATCTTTGTTCCCGATTTGGACAATCTTGAGCTCATCAGGTCAGGTGTGAATCCATGAGACTGTGGAACGTTGGCCACTTGGAGGCGCTGTGGCTCCACAATGCTGCAGGGAACCCTGGAGGGGGTGGGAGGGTGACCCAGGAGAGCGGGGCTGAGAGATATGCTTGGCTGCCCGCTAGCTTCAGGGGAGTGGTTTGATTCAGAGTGGATCTTGAGTTAAACACAAACTCCCCACTGCCAGAGAAGAGTAGAGGTGCCTGAGGCCTCAGTTTGCACCAAAGAGTACAGTGTCTCTGTGTCTGCATGGGCAGTGGAGGGTGAAGGAGCTTGGGCCACAAGGGCTGGGCATCAGTGCCAGGGCAGGGACAGGCAGGCAGAGGAAAGTAAGGTGTGAGGTGCGCACGTGGGGCCTGTTCTCCACCCACCAAATCTTTAGTTTCGGGGCTGTGCAGGACAGAGGCACGGGGCAGCTGAGCCTGGGGCCTGCCACAGGGTGCAGGGGGCAGCGGTGGCCTGCAGGGAGAGTAACTGGGAAAGGCCAGTTACCGTAAGAAGCTCCAGAATCATTCCTGCCCCCACTCAGGAAGTGACCGTGAGGCACATGCTGCCAGCCAGAAGGGTTCAGGCCCTGGAGAGCTGACAGGCCTTTCCCAGGCACTCTCTGCTGCGTCTACATGTGAGATGCTTTAATAGTCACATAAATCGTGCAGGATAAGTATTATTTTACCTGTTTATGTATCTGAGGGAAATCAGCTGTCCTGGGTCTCATATTTAGTAACTGGCTGAAGGCTGGGAGCAGTGACTCAGCCCTGTGACCCTAGCATTTGGGAGGCCAACCTCAGGAGTTCGAAACCAGCCTGGGCAGCATAGTGAAACCCCGTCTCTACCAACAATATGAAAACTCGGCCAGGTGTGGTGGTGCACGACTGTAATTCCACCTACTTGGGAGGCTGAGGCAGGAGAATTGCTTGAACATAGGAGGCAGATGTTGCGGTGAGCCAAGATCGTGCCATTGCACTCCAGCCTGGGCAACAAAGTGAGACCCTGTGTCAAAATAAAATAAAATAAAAACTGGCTTAAGTCTGTCTCTCCAACACCTCTGCATAACCCCTTCTTTGTAGCTCTATCCTTCTACCTGCTTTCCCCTTTCCAGGTCCCCATGAGCAGGCTGTGAAGGTCATGCCTCATACATAATCAGTAGAATCTCTTCGCTGAGAAGTCCAAGGAACACTTGACTTCCAGGCCGAGCATATCCATTCTTCCTTCACTGAGACCAAAAAAAAAAAAAAAAAAAAAAAAAAAAAAGTGTTACTTTCTGGCCAGGCGTGGTGCCTCACACCTGTAATCCCAGCACTTTGGGAGGCTGAGCAGGTGGATCCCTTGAGCCCAGGAGTTCGAGACCAGCCTGGTCAACATGGAGAAACCATGTCTGTACTAGAAATAAAATAAATTAGCCAGGCATGGTGGTGGGCACCTGCAATCCCAGCTACTTGGGAGGCTGAAGAATGGGAATTATTTGAACTCAGGAGGTGGAGGTTGCAGTGAACTGAGATTGTGCCACTGCACTCCAGCCTGGACAGCAGAGCTAGACTCCACACACACACACACACACACACACACACTTAGAAAAAAAGAAAAAGAAAAAAAAGGGGGGTAGTAATTTTCTGAACTGTGGACTTCCTGTAACCGATGCAACATATCTTGAGAAGAAGGAACACTGAACGTAAATGTTCTCTAGGCCAGAAAGGTGGTGGATGCTGCTCAAAGCCTCTGTCCCGTCAGTCCTCCCTTTCTTCTCAGCTTCTCAGCCATCAAAATGAAATTGGCAAATGACTTTAAGGGAAAAGTAGGATTTTTGTTTTCTTTTAGATTTATCCATTTTCTATGAGATCCAAATCTCTTAAGCTCTTACTGCCTCAGTAGCTCCAAGTGCCTTCAAATATTTCTGTTTTATATTTTGTTAAGCTTTTCTAGTTGTTTCTGGTGGGAGTGTTGTTCTGCAACAATCGGTCTATTAACTCTGAAAGTCAGTTTTTATATTTATGAAAGATGAAGTGCAATTGAGTTTGTAGGTTTGTATGTTTGTATTATGGTGGAAGCTTCCTGAAGAGAGTGACGAATGAAGCGCTTCTAGTCTTCCCTCACGTGTCTCTAATAAGACCTCTACCGCCCTGCCCTGCTGCCTTTGGTCCACCATGGGACTGAGCCTTGACATGTTTGACACTTTGACCACAAGGAGGAGCTGTGACTCTGCTGAGATTCAGAGAACTTGGAGGAAGGGGAGACAATTCTCTGGATGGCAGAGGGTTAAAAGAAAGATTGGGTTTATTTACAACAAGGGAAAATGTGGTCTGCAGAGAATGCTAGTCAAGGCTCTAAGTGTGAGGGTTCAATACAGACTATTCATTTTGCCTTGATGTGCAGGCGCTTTTGTCCTAGGGAAGAGCCTGGACTGTCAGACTTGCACTCGAGCCCGCATGGGATCAGAAAGGACGAGGCATGAGCTGGGGAGACTGGGAGCCCACAAGCAGGCACAGATGGAGGACCCCTTCCCAAGAGGAATAAGAGAGGCTCTGGGCATTGGGCCTCTGCTCCAGCTCAGCCCAGTACAGCTGAGCCCTGCCATGAAGTGAGTCTGGCCGGCCAGGGGTCCCTCGGTGATCTTGCAGAGAATAACTGAGGGAAATCTTCTTAGGAGACCAAAAGTGAACTACAGCCCCGTTCTCCTCACTCTAAATTATCAAGGAATTAAGCTAGAAAGTTTTTTCTTGTTCCCCTTCTGGATGGTCCTCTGAGTCTTTGGACCAGGAGCCCCCCACAGTGATAGGAAACCCCTCTCCTAGGCCTGAGCAAATGTTTCTATCAAAACAACATCACCAGACTCCCTTTCAGCTTCCATCTCCAACTTCTCTCCCTATCTACAGAGACCCGCGGAAGCTAGACTTGTCCAGATGTCAAAAGATCTGATGATGCCAAGACACCTGGAGATAGGAAAGAAGGTGGCATTGACAGACCTCCAGGATGCACACCTGAAACACACTTTGTTTTCACTTCAGGCTCATGTTTCACCTTTTTAAAAAGCATTCGGAATTTCCCTGACTTCTTGGAAATCCCAAAAAAAAGCCTGACTCTGGGAGAAGAGCCCAAAAGGGAGAGGAAGGGAGGAGGTGGCCAGATCCCAGGTAAGGAGCGGGGAGGGAGGGGGCTGCTGGCACAGGAATGACTGTCAGAGACACATCCTGGAGGCCACAATTCAACCCTCTCAACTTTTCCCAGAAATTCCAAAAACTCCTTTAAAGCAGCAAGTGCAGGGTGTGAAAAGCAGGAGCCATGCTAGAGGAGAGCCTGGGAATGGGGAAATGATTACAGGCTGTGACCTCACTGGCGCAGCCCCTCTCAGCGGCAGTGGAAAGCACAGCCTAGACTTCTCACCACTGCACACCAGAATCCTGCCCCGGGCCTTGCCTGGTCTGCCTGACTCTGCCATGGGCTGCAGGCTCCTCTGCTGTGTGGCCCTCTGCCTCCTCCAAGCAGGTGAGTCCTGGGCCCAGGTGACATCATCCTGTTGGGGTCTCTAAACCTTTTCACCATGACGACAGCAGGCTACCTCCTGGGATTTGCCTGAATTCTACTTCTTTCCTTTACAGGTTCCTTGGACACAGCTGTTTCCCAGACTCCAAAATATCTGGTCACGCAGACGGGAAAAAACGAGTCCCTTAAATGTGAACAAAATCTGGGCCATAATGCTATGTATTGGTATAAGCAGGACTCTAAGAAATTGCTGAAGATAATGTTTATCTACAATAATAAGGAGCCCATTTTAAATGAAACAGTTCCAAATCGCTTCTCACCTAAATCTTCAGACAAAGCTCATTTAAATCTTCACATCAAGTCCGTGGAGCTTGGTGACTCTGCTGTGTATTTCTGTGCCAGCAGCCAAGACACAGCCCTGCAGAGTCACCGCATTCCCGTGCACAAACCTCCCAGCTCAGCCAGGAAGCTGTGGGCCAGGGTGTGCACCTGCACCCAAGGCTCCAGTCTCCACTGTCTGATGGCCTCTGATGGAGTTTCAGTCTGTAGTACAGACGGCTAGTGCACCTGATGTGGCAATTCTCCATTTGATGTACACAGAACTCTCCGAATTCTGTTTATCAGCTAAAGCAGGGGTTCACAACAAAGTCAGCAAAGTATCAGGGCTCAGCTAACAAAACAGGAGCCTGTCCCATGCACTGAAGATCTTAACTGATGGGAGAAGCCATTTCTTATCTTTGTCAGCTGCACATATGGGTACATATTTTAGCTAAGGTTATGATTACAAACGCAGTGTTGGTAAAAAATGGTTGATGAGCATAAGCATAAAGGAAGGGGAAGGAAAGCATTTCTAAGATCAAGAGACAATTTGGATTATCAGTGAGTACTTTAACAGAGAAATATTTGGAGAGGCATGAAATGCCATGGCAATAGGTAAACTGGAAAGTGTTGAGGAGAAGCCAGTGGAGGCAACCTTGTGCCTTGTAGACTCCTTTTCTTCAAGGAGAGTGACCAGCAAGAGTCTCTCCCAATTCTGATGAACGTCTTCTTGAACTCTTCTCAACAGCAAGTGATAGCTTGATGACAGAGGATATTGGGAGACATGGAAAGGACTTTGGAAACAAATCCCTAGGTAGTGGTGAGCCACTGGTCCTACTCCAAGTGAAACAACATGATGAAACTGATATTTTGGTACAGGAACACTGAAAGTAGTGTGGATCAGAAAGGAGATAGATTTTGGGGTGGTCTGAAGGATTAGGAGACTTCTAAATATCCTCCATGAAAGAAAGGGTTTATGTAAAGCATTGCGGACGATAGACACTTGAGGCTCTGGATTATGTTATTTCTTGGAAAGAGTGTTGGGTTTTATTCTGGGAGGGTTAAATGTAGGACTAGCTAGGGTCTGTTTCAGCTTCGCCCTCCCTCTTAGGGAGCCCCAGCATGTGGTCATCATTGCTAGCGCATGGCCTTCCCAGGGTCTTAGTGGGAATCACAGTGTATTCACCACATCACTCCACTGTAACTGGGTCTGAATGCCCTGGCTCTTCTGAAATCTCTACCCTTGTCTTCAGCCTTCCAGAACTTGTTCTCTGCTCAGCCTTCGGGTCTGCCACCCTCTGCATACACAATTTAGGATCTGGCTCAGGAGAAGAAAGTGGGGGGCGGGTTTCTTACATATGATTTTTGGGTTCCTTTTTAGTACACTGTGTCCTAAATCCCAACTGTCTTGGAGTCAGTTGTGTCCTAGCTTCAATCACATATAGTACTGCTATTTGGTATAGACATGTTTACTTGACTTTATTTCACGTTTGCCGTTCTTGCTTCTCACAACTCTGACTGGCCTGAGGTCATTCTCCTCTTCAGATCCATCCCAAATTCAGATGACTTAAACTCACCTATCACCCATCCTGTGCTTTGAGAAAGGTTTATGTTAGCTACTGACCTCAGGGCAGCCAAGCCTTTCATTGTCATTGTTATTCAAGGTAGGTTGAATTCCATTAAAAAAAAAAATCCTTGAAATTTGGTTCACTTATTCAGAGCCACACAATGCAATCAAACTTTTTTTATTTCAATTTTTTTTCTTTTTTGGTGGAAGGGCCAAGAATTGTTTCCTTGCTAAAGCAGACTCCTATCATAATAACTTTAATAGTAATAGCATTAGCCTTTAAATCAGGTTGATGTTAGGTTCTCATCTAAGAATGAAATAAATCCAACCATAGCAGGTTGAAGGTCTCTCATATGTGGAACCTGTTCAGGAGGAGACGATTCAACCACTTTTCTTAAATTCTGATGTACATGCCTTTACGTTCTTTGCTTTAAGGGCCACATAAAAATAATCCAAAACAATTTACACATGAGAATATTAGCAATCTAATACTTTCCTCCTGGCCCAGCACATCTCCAAGTTTAAAAATCTCTAAATTATCAACCCATAGTTTCATCACGGTAATGCCTTTCTACTCCCAACATAGATTTTTATGTAACTGATTTATAACTGCAACCCTAACCCTACAATCAAATTGTCATTAAAAAACAGTAACAAATATGTACTATAACAGTAGATGGTTAAAATCACTTAGGGATTATGAATCATTTCATTTTTGTGTTTATTTGTACTTATCTTTTGTGTTTATTTATTATGTCAGCTTCAAGCTGATTCCCCTTTCCCGTGCTCCCCACACCTTGCGTTGTTCCTTTTCAGCATCCTGTGTATGTTAGCCCTAAGCCCAGCCAATCCCCATGCCCTCCACTTCAGGGACAGAGGGTGGCTCATCCCTGTCGTGTCCCGCAGCTCCCTCCCCAGGGCCTGGTTGCTGGTTGGCATCACAGTCATACCCTTGAATGATGGGCACTGGTCCACACTACATCCGTGGTCACGCAGTCACCCTCCCTCCACAGAGCCGGGCAAAAAGGGCTCCACCGTGCTTAGACATTGAGGGAAGGGACGTTTTGAATGGCGCTGTCTTGTGTGATCCCACAGGGGAGAAGGAGATTCCTCGAATGGGAGTGGTCTGTCCTTGAGAGGAATCCTGAAAGACAGGGGAACAGAGAGGGAGGATCCACATAATGAGGAAGCAGCTGAGAGCAAAGGAGCCCCTGCCAGAGGAATATCCTTGGGGATTAAAAACCTGGCTCTGCCCTTTCTGCCCAGCCCATTCATCCCAGCCCAGACAATTCAAATCTACCTTCTATCAGGACCCAGAAAAGGATGTAAAACCTCCAGGAATAAATATCCCCTGGGTCTGGGGAAACTGTCAGGAGCAGTGACATCACAGGAAAAACCACCAACCAGGGCCAAGGAGACCAGAGCCCAGCCCCTCGCCCAGAGGACCCCAGTCAGAGGCCCCATCTCAGACCCGAGGCTAGCATGGGCTGCAGGCTGTTCTGCTGTGCGGTTCTCTGTCTCCTGGGAGCAGGTGAGTTGGCTTCAAATCAGCTGTCCTCGATCTCCAGGCTTTTTCCTTGTGACTGCAGCAACAACCCTCCTCCTGGGCTCTGCCTGAATTTCCTTTCCCCCCACAGTCCCCATGGAAACTGGAGTTACGCAGACACCAAGACACCTGGTTATGGGAATGACAAATAAGAAGTCTTTGAAATGTGAACAACATCTGGGGCACAATGCTATGTACTGGTACAAGCAGAAAGCTAAGAAGCCGCCGGAGCTCATGTTTATCTACAACTTTAAAGAACGGGCTGAAAACAACAGTGTGCCCAGTCGCTTCTCACCCGAATGCCCAGACAGCTCTCTCTTATACCTTCACCTACGCGCCCTGCAGCCAGAAGACTCAGCCCTGTATCTCTGCGCCAGCAGCCAAGACACAGCCTTGCAGAGTCGCCGCTTTCCTGTGCAGAAACCTTCGGGGCCTGCCAGGAAGCTGTGGGGGCCACGGAGGGCTCGGGTGAGCATTTCCTGCAAGAGCCCCGACAGAAGCTTCAGAACATCATGGCACCTGCTAATTCATCCATGTGGCAACTTTACATCCTGTGCTCATATTTAGAGTGTGGGTTTTCTTTAGCGTGTGACTCTGCCCTGTCAGCTGATTTGAAAATGATAAACACATTCAGATCTAGTCTTTTTAAAATCCCTTTTTAAATTGTAAAATAAAGCAAGCATGCTCTAAGGGGATTGTTTAGTTTAAGATTTTACAAGACCCTCTAAACAACCACCTGCGTCACCACAGAGTCATACCCTGCAATGGGCCACACAGTGTCCTGTGAGGAGCCAAGCTCTTCTGACACTTTATGTCTGGTGGTCTCCAAGCCTCTCTTTCTCAGGAACTAAGGGGTCCCTTCTGTCATAAGTTGCTGACACCCAAGGTCAAGCAGCACTGGGTTTGGGGGAATCATAGAGGTAACTTCCAGGCATGGGTCCCAGGGCAGGAGGCAGCTGGAGAGCACAGTAGACAACCCAGGTTTTGGGGAATGGATTTGAGAAATATGTCAAACCAGTTCTGTTATTCTATCTTCCATCTTGTCTATTCTCTAATTTTCTTATTTAAACTCAAATCTACAGCATAAATTCCAGCCCTGATCAAAGCTCCATATCCGCACAGACACCTTCTCTGAATCCTGCAGGAAGCAAACTTGCCTCTGTCCACTCCCATCCATTCAGATCCCGTGGACCATGGTCTGGAAGCTTCCTCACTCATCTACTCTCCTTCTCTTGACCTGAAGTGTCCTTGGTTTAAGATCACAACTCCTCACTGGATTTCCTCTCCACACTGACACTGGAAGACGATGTTTTCTCCTTCTGGTATCTTTATTCCTAGCATGTTAAATCATCAGGCTCAGAGTTCAGTGTCTCTGGATTGTAGCTTTACATTGGCCTTTAGGGAGGAGAGTGGGTCCTGACCGTTCTCTTCGTGTCTTAGCTTGCCTAGGTCTCCTGAATTCTGTGTTTCTTGGGGGCTCCTCAACTGCACTATTTCACACAGGGTCTGCAGGACTGCACCACAAGGAAACACAGAGGTCAAGCCTGGGGGCATCCGTGCACTCCCAGAATACACAGAGGCCAAGCCTGGGGGAATCCGTGCACCCCCAGAAAACACAGAGGCCGAGCCTGGAGACATCCATGTCCAGTGTGCCACTAAGGCTCCCACTCCTCCAGTGCAGGATCCTGAGTCTGTGGCTGCAGCCGACACTGTAACCTCACAAGATCTCCCCATTTGCACGGCTAATGACCAGAGCTTCAGCTGGGAGTGGCCTCAGCCCTGCCCAATTCTGCCATGAAGAGACAGCAGGCTTCTATGTAGGGTGATCTTTGGTCTCTTTGGAGCACATGAGTCCTGAGAGTGCTTGGGGAATTCTTATCCTGTTTACCTAAGGCCAGTTCCAAAGTTATGTTTCATTCCATTTCAGGCCCCTGTTTACTCCACAGGATACATGGAACCTGGAGTCAGCTAAACCCCTAGCCACTATGTCACAGATGAGACAGAGCGTGGCTTGGAGGACCCACTTTCTGATTCATAGATGGCTCCTTCTCACTCTATCCTCACACGGTGGGAGGGCCAGCTAGTGCTCTGGTGTCTCTTTGCAAGGGCACTAACCCCTTAGGCCTTCATGACCTCCTAATCTCATCACATCAGGGCTTAGAATTTCAACATATGAATTTCAAGGGACACAAGCACTCAGATGATAGAAATTATCTTTCTTTTGGTATTCTTGGTGTCCCGATGGTATCAGTTACTCTAATATGATTTCTAAAATGAAAGTGTAAATAAGATTGTCTCCATGCAAGGAGGGAGTCAGACAAGGTAGGATTTAAACCATTTCCACCATCCTGTTTTCTCATTGCAGTCTTGGGCTCACCACTCATATTCTTTATATTCCTGTGCGAAATAGCTTCAGTCTTCCCAAAAGATAATCATCGCTATTCGTTAGTTTCTGATATTGATGTTTCTTTCTTGTCTCATCGGGTTCATCTGGAGAAGGAGCCAGGAGACGATGCTAGTTTGCAACTTTAGGAGAAGTCAGATCCATGCTCTCATCTTTCAGCCATTTTTATACTATTATCTTGGCCTGCTCTTATGTGAAATATAATAGTTGTTTATCATGGGATATGAGGCATCTCTGAAGTAATCTATATATTCTGTTTTGTTTCTTTTTCTAGGTAAGGATTGGCCAGCAATCTGGCAATTTTATCTAATTGGACTCAAACATTTCTAGGTATTCATTTTACAGTAGAATAATACACTGTTCCTTAATGTGACTGGCAGGGTGCGTGGGGACCTGCAGAGACGATGACATCACAGCAGTCACATCACAGGCTGACATCCGATCAGAGATGCAATGCCCAAAACCAGTACCCCTGGCAGGGTGACTCCTGCCCAGATCTGTCCCACCCGGCCATGGGCTCCAGGTGCCTCTGATGGGAAGGCCTTTGTCTCCTGGGACCCGGTGAGTCCTTGGCACACGTGGGATGTCTCTGAAGCACGCCACATCCAAGGCACCCTCAGGCTCCCTCCGGTGTTCGTGCCCCAGCCTCTGTCCCCTTCCCTCACAGGCCCAGTGGATTCGGATGTGCAGAACAGAGAGCAGTGGACCTCAGGAGGCCTGCAAGGGGAGGACATAGGACAGTGACATCATAGGATGCCCCTCCCACCAGGAAAAGCAAGGCTGAGAACTCAGCTCTTCCCCAGGAGGACCAAGCCCTGAGCACAGACACAGTGCTGCCTGCCCCTTGGTGCCACGGGCTCCATGCTGCTCTGCTGGGCCCTGCTTTGTCTCCTGGGAGTAGGTGAGTCCCTGCAGACAGGACAGCACCCCATTCTGAGCCCGCCCTCACCCCTGTGTCTTCCACCTTACCTTGGGGAGGTACCACCAGGCTGTCTCCTGTGCTCATCCTCCATCTGCTTTTCCCACAGGCCCAGTAGAGGCTGGAGTCACCCAAACTCCAAGATCTCTGATCAAAACAAGAGGACAGCAAGTGACACTGAGCTGCTCCCCTGTCTCTGGGCATAACAGTGTGTCCTGGTACCAACAAGCTCCAGGTCAGGGCCTCCAGTAATTGTTAAAATATCATAATGGGTTACAGAGAGTAAAAGGAAACTTCCCTGATTGTTTCTCAGGGCACCAGTTCCCTGACTATCACTCTGAGCTGAACATGATCACCCTGGAGCTGGCAGACTTGGCCCTGTATCTCTGGGCCAGAAGTCTGGGACAGCCCTGCAGAGCCAACCGCATCCTGTGCACAAACCTGCCTGCCCCAGTGTGGAGCAACCTCAGCCCTGACATATCTGTGAGAACTTGGGGACTGCAGGGAGAAAGAAAAAATAATTTCATGATGCTGGATCCAGCAACCTCAGGCTTTTCTGCCATTCAGGGCTGAAGGAAATAAGGCCAGGCAGCTCTGCTCAGAAGATGCTGCTGCTCCAGTAGGTTCACTGCAGAATCGCCTTCTCTGCTTGATACTGTAAGCTACAGCGGCAGAGGACATGTTCATCATGTAACAGCTGGTGCTCTCTTTTTAAGGGCAGGGAATTTCATTTTGGAGTCAAGATTGTTGATAATAGCATAGTGTTGGAGGTAAAATCACAGGGGTTTGCTTTGTATAATTAGGGTGAAGAAATTGAGATTTGGGAAAGTGGAGGAGAGAGAATATGATTAAAGATTTTGAAAATAGAGATAAGGCAGAAAGTGATAAGAAGTGGTGTTCTGTGCACCATGAGCTCTCTTCTCACCCTTCCCCAAATTTTCCATATCTAGAGAACATAAAGGAAGAACTCACAGCAATTGGCGTCACTGGTGGCCAGTCCCAGTTGGGGATATCACCAAAGAGCCGCTTGCCTGGCGTGAGAGTCCTGGAGTTGGTTCTGATGTCTTCCCTATGGTCTTCTGGCCTGAATCTGAACTCTTCAGGACACACTCAAGTACCTTCCAAAACACAGATGAGGTCATTTTACCCCTGACAGTAAACAGGTAAAGGCTCTCCAGTTTTCCTCAAATAAATTCTACTTCCCTGGGATGCCTTTCTAACGCTCATCACCTAGATCCAATTACCTTCTGTGACCAAACAGCTCTTTCAACATTTCCTAAAACTCAGCAGTCTTTATATGCTCTGCATTTGTCCTCACTATTTCCATGGCCCGGACGAACCTTTGTTCTCCTAAGACATTACCAGGTACTGATCATCCGTGAAGGACAGGCTCACACCTGCCTCCCCCTTCACGTCCTACTGTGACATTCCCTGGGACTGTACTGTATCACTCTCTTTCCTTTATTTTCATGGGAAAAGCCAAGTATATAATTGATCTTATTTGATGTTTGTAAAGTGAGTAAGTTAATCCTACTTATACTGAGTCCTGGAGTATGATTACTTCCCTTCACAAAGGATTCTTCTTACCTGAAATATCGTGGAGAGTGATTATGAATAGCCTCAGGATTTCATGCAACCTCTGCAATATTCTGAGCAATTGTGTCGTTCTAGTTTGGATTGATGAGCAGTGCTGTGAAGTACCATAACTGTGTCTAATGCTGCAATTTGCAAATGTTCTTTTGGAGCAAAGAAAATCACATTATAGTAATATTTATCCAGTCTCATGATCCTGCAAAAATATTCCTTGTCATAACCACACTTCCTCAACCACATCTTTAGAGATTTGATGAGGCTGTAACATCATCAAAGATGCTCTTCAGAAATCAGCCTAAAACACTGAAAGGAAAGTCAGCTGAGCTCAGTCATGGAATGTTATCATCTTTGGCAAGTAAAAGATATTGTGTGTGGCTGGGCTTGATGGCTCACACCTGTAATTCCAGCACTTTGGGAGGCTGAGGCGGGTGGATCATGAGGTCAGGAGTTCAAGACAAGTCTGGTCAACATAGTGAAACCCTGTCTCTACTAAAAATACAAACAGGCTGTGTGGTGGTGTGTGCCTGTAATCCCAGCTATTTGGGAGGCTGAGGCAGGAGAATCTCGTGAACCCGGGGGGCGGAGGTTGCCATGAGCCGAGATCTTGCCATTGCACTCCAGCCTGGGTGACAGCGTGAGACTCCATCTCAAGAAAAAAAAAAAAGATATAGTGTGTGTGAATGTGTGTGTGCATGTGCATGTGTGTGTGTGTACATGTATGTGTGTGCATATGAGTTCTTGTGGAAACTCATTCACACGGACATAGTTTCTCTGGGTTGCATTACTAAGAGGTGCTGGGTCACTGGTGGAGCTCATAGACACTTGTGGGATGTGACAGGAAATGTCACAGCCAATTGAATCTGCCGAAGTTACAGCTGAAAGCGTTGTTTATCGCAAGATTTTGTAAGTTGAGAAATATATTTATAAAAATCTAAGAATTTTCCTTCTAAAATACACTACGTAAAATTTGCTAATAATTCATTTAAATACAAAATATGAAAACATGGGTCTGATTAATCAAAAGGAACGATTGAATACAGTTTCCAGGCTAGGCCTATTTGATATCTTCACGCTGTTTAAATCTGTGACCTGTATTTTTCAGGCTCCTTTCATCCCTCCTAGCATACTAACTGCAGTGCTGTAACATTGTTTATTTTGCAATTAAAATGTTGGTTAATGCATACTTTTGCCTCCACTAGCTAAAGGTGGACTTTAAGGTCAACTCTAGGTTGGCCCTTCTGGGGAAGTATAGAGAGGGGTGTGTGAGAAGGTCGGGATTGCAGGAGTGAGAGCAGGGCATCTGTTCCTTCTTTGGACCATCTTGAGCTCATTAGGCCAAATGTGAATCCATGAGACTGCGGATTTTTGGCCACTTGGTGGCGCTGTGGCTCCACAGTGCTGTAAGAAACCCTGAGTAGGACTGGAGGGTGGCCAGAAGGCTGAAGGGGATGACGGGCTGCCTGATGGCATCAGGCACCCTTTGCGATTCCCTGAGCAGGGCCTGGACATGTGGAGTTAAGCACAGACCCCTCACTGCCGAGGAAGGGCAGGGGTGCTAGAGTCCTCAGTTTGCACCAAGGAGGGAGTGTCTGCCTCTGCATGGGGAGTGGAGGATGAAGGGGCTGGGATGGCAAGGACTGGGAATGAGTGTCTGGCCTGGGACAGGGAGGACAGAGGAAAGGCATATGTGATGTAGGCATGTGGGGACTGTGTTCCACCGGCCCCACCTTTAGTTTCAGGGCTGTGTAGGACAGGAAGATCTCCTGGAGTAGCAAAGCCTGGGCCCTGCCGATCGTAGCAGCATGTAGGGGTGGCCTGTGGAGAGAGTAACTGGGAAAGGCCAGTTCCCCAAGGAACTTTCCTGCCCCATTCAGGAAGTAACTGTGAGGCAGGTGCTTCCAGCCAGAGCAGCTCGGGCCCTGCCAAGCTTACAGGGTTTTCTTTCTCAGACTTTCCCTGCTGCTTCCATATGTGATCTGCTTTAAAGCTCACTGAAATCACAAGTCTTTATTATTTTGCCTGTTTTTGTATCTGAGGGAAGGCAGCTGCCCCTGGTCTCATATTTAATAACTGGCTGTCGTGTGTTCTCCAACACCTCTCCACCCTCCCCTACTCTGTACATCTGTCCCCTCATCTGGCTTCCTCCTTTCAGGTCCCATTAGCAGGAGGGGAAGGTCATGCCTCCTATGTGACCATTATAACCTCTTCCTTGACAAGTCCAAGAAACATATGACTTCCAGGCCAAGCATATCCATTCATCCTTCATGGCAGCAAAAAGAAAGATAAAATTTTCTACACTGTAGACTTTCTGTAACTAATGCAATCTACCTTGAGGGAAAGTAACATGAATAATTGTTATTCATTAGTTAGTTTATTTTATATCTTTTCTTCAACGAAGTTTTTGAGGCCCTTTCTTTGTATATTTTATGGCATAAGATAAAACATGACAAAAACTGTTTAATAAAAAATATTTCATTTTAGAGTATTAAGGCTTAAATTTATTTTTTTATTTTAGTTTTACTTATTCAAAGTACTTTACTTGGTTTCTGAATTATACAAATTTCCCTTTCTTTCTCTTTCTCTCTTTAGCTACCTCCCCCATTTTTTGCCAGCGTTTTAATTTAATGTGGTAGGAACATGGAACATGAGATCGTTATGTTAAATAGATGTTTAAGTGTACAATACAGTATTGTAATCCACAAGTGCAAGGTTGTACAGAAGCTCTCTAGATCTTACTCATCTTGCTGACTGAATTTTTATACCTGCTGACAGCAACTCCCCATTTTCTCCACTCCCAGCCCTTGGATATCACCACTTTTATCTTTGCTTTCATGAGTTTGACTTTTAGGTAGCCTACTATAAGCAGAATCATGCAGTATTTGTCTTTCCGTGCCAGGCTTATTCACTTAACACAGTGTCCTGCAGCTTTATCCATGCTATCACGAATGGCTGGATTTTCTTCTTTTTAATGCTTAATAATATTCCATTGTATGAATATACTGTATTTATGGTCTTTCACTGTTTCTACGAAACCGTCTGTCACATGAGTGGCATAGTCATCAGCAGAACCGAAAGCATGGATTACATTAATGCACATTCACACTTCAATTCTACTCCATGGGCAAGACTTAGAAAAAAATAATGATTCCATCATTTACTGTTATTTTACTATACACAGAATAGAAGTCCTTCTTTTGGGAAGTTTCAGTTATTTAGAAATTCAAGTGTCAGAAGAAAACCCTAAGACACAAATGCTTTTCTCATGGTCCAGGTGAGACAACTGGCCCATTGGTTAAATAACTTGACCAAATTAAATAGCTATTAGGATGTAGTACTGATACTCCATCCCTGCCCAGTCTAAGTTCAGTGTTTATAGCTCTATGCTATAAAATATTTCATAAAGCTGCCAACCTACAATAAATTGGAATGTTTTCCGCTACACCCCTTTTAGACCTGCTGACTCTAATAGCATCGTAGTTGGAGATCAGTCTACCCTGGAGACAGTGGTGTAGGGAAAGTGGTCTGAAGAGGCACCATGACTCCCAGCCGTGACTTCCACTCTAACACCAGCTCATCAAGATCTGAGGCCAGTTCTTAATGGGTTAAGTTTAGCTTTAACATTTTTTTTAAATCTACAAAATGAGACTACTACTCTCCATCAGCAGAGATCTATATAACCTTTAATGGCATAAAGTATCTAGCATATAGTAGAAGCCTAGCTATTTTGGTTTCCTTTGCTGGTCTCAGACAACCTCTTCCACCATGCCAATGTGCAAAGACAGATATGGACACATTCTGCAAAGAAATCTTAGGTTGAGAACTCAGAAGTCACAGAAATGGAAATATATATGCCTGATAATTCATTTGATAAAATTAACTAGAGGATGTAGCATACATATCTCCTCAGACATTCAAAAATCAACATTTTTGATATATAAATCATATGAAGTAAACACGACACCTTTTAAATGAACAGATCAGTGACTTTTGAGCAACATATATTGACGTATGCAACCCCAACTCTATGAAGATGTATCTGCCTCACCCAGAAATTCTCTCACTCCCCTCTGCAATGCCTGTCTCTGTCCCAACGACCAATGATGTGACCTCTATCACTGGAGAGTCATTTTGTTCGCAAATATTTTTAATGCAAATGTCAAACCTCATCTGATTAATCCCCTTGAATACACAGCGAAGTAATCAAGGCAGGGAGGAGTTCCTGGGAGGTTTTCTGGTTTTAGAAGGGGTTGAAGCCATGTGAGCCACCTGACCCATGGTAGGGACAATTCTATCTGGAGATGGATGTTGTGCCGAAATAGCCTCAAAAGGTCTTTTCAGCTGGTAGAAGCTGATTCTACAAAAGTTATTCATTTTCATTCATTTATTTTCTCATCAACTCATTCAATCAAACAAATTTATGTTGTGTTTTGACAAAAGTTAATCATTTTTAAGGAAATTACTTTGAGTTCCCGTCAGACACACGTGCAGCTGGGCTTCGTGTTCACACAGTGAGCATGCTGGGGCCAAGCAAACCATCATCACAGCGACTTCATTGACAGGTGATGTCTTATTGGGAGAATGGTTCTCTTTGACTTGACCCCAAGTGTCCAACCTGTAAAACCTGAGCCTTGTGTTAAAATCCATCTTCCTGTTCTGGCTCTGCCCCGGGCACCAGGTTACTGTGCTGTGTATTTCTCTGTCTCCTGAACCAGAGTCCTGGACACAGATATGGAACCTATTCACGGGCTTGTTTGATCCTAGCTGTGACTTTCAGTACCAGGTGGTCCTTTGCTGTGACTTTAATTTCTGTTTTCTTTATTCTTAAGTTCCGTAGATGCTGAGTGACCCAGACCCTGGTTGTGCTCTTGTGTTGAAAGGAAACAAGCACATGGGGAGGTAAGCAGAATCTGAAACAAAATAATGTATTTACAACCAGTGGCAAAACTTACTGGCAGGTCCTTTGTCCAAACACTGTTGAGAATTTGAAGATCATGACAGCAGAGTTTAAAACTAAGTGCAGGGTCCTTTCAAATGTGGGGCTGTGTGCACCAAAGGTACAGTTTTGGAGCTCCTTTTTTTTAAACAAAAACAAAAGCCAAAACCACTCCATGTTCATGGCTGCAGGCCATGAGAGAATATTTTTCTTTTTACATTTTAATTTAATTTTTATTTTTCCATATGTTATTGGGGTACAGGTGGTATTTGGTTACATGAGTAAGTTCTTGATTGATGATTTGCAAGATTTTGGTGTACCCACCACCCGAACAGTATACACTGCACCATATTGTGTCTTTTATCCCTCACCCCCTCCCGCTCTTCCCCTCCAAGTCCCCAAAGTCCATTGTGTCATTCTTATGCCTTTGTGTCCTCATAGTTTTGCTCCCAGATATCAGTGAGAACACACGATGTTTGGTTTTACATTTCTGAGTTACTTCACTGATAGTCTCCCATCTCATCCAGGTAGGTCACTCCAAATGCTGTTAATTCATTCCTTTTTACGGCTGCAGAGAATTTCATTTTTTATATATATATATATCTTTTTTATATTATATATACCACAGTTTCTTTATCCACTCATTGATTGATGGGCATTTGGGCTGGTTCCTTTTTATTTATTACTAAATTAATGGCAGGTACATTCTTCCTTACCTTAAAGTCTTGCCCTGTCTCCCTAAGTCTCTTATACATCAGGACACCTTTGTGCCCATAGGTCATGGGCAGTGCTGGGCAGCCACCATCGTCCACACAGAGAGGGCAGTCAGCAGCGTGAGGTGGTTCTGTCTGCTGCAGTCTAACCCCAGGCACAGAAACAAGAGCCCTGGGTTGAGCTGAAGGTGCTCAGCTGGTTTTGTCAGGAGGCCCATCTGTCAGTGAATTGACAAGAAACAGAACAAAATAACTCCTCCAATGTTGATGAGCCTGCCCCTGGGATTTGGAAACTTGCGAACAGAGAAAACCAATATAGACAAAGGATTTTAAACAGGATGATGGTCAATTAAGCAAATTAGAAGAGGATGCTTGAAGGAGTATTTGGGACACAGAAGTCAAAAACACTAGGAAGACATGAGGAGGTGTTCTAAGATTCTAGACTGCAGCAATACTTAGATAACCAATATCAGTGTATTAATGAGTTATTATTATGATTGTTATTATTTTGAGATGGAGTCTCACTCTGTCATCCAGGCTGGAGTGCAGTGGCATGATCTCAGCTCACTGCAACCTCTGCCTCCCTGGTTCAAGCGATTCTGGTGTCTCAGACTCCTGAGTAGCTATGAGTACAGGTGCACATCAGGATGCCTGGATAATTTCCGTATTTTAGTACAGATGAGATTTCACCATGTTGGTCTCCAACTCCTGACCTCAAGTGATCTGCTCTCTTCAGCCTCCCAAAGGGCTAGGATTACAGGTGTGGGCCACTGTACACAGCCAAGTAATTATGCCATCATGGGAATACAAAATATACTTCGAGTTACAAACTAATTACCAAAAGATCTAAAAAAAAAAAAAAAAAAGGTAGACATGCACCAATTCAGACAAAGGCATTCTTCCCATCCAAACTCTTCACTGGTGAATTTATCTTGAATTTGACCATCTGGGGAAGGGGCGTGGCCACTTCTGATAGGAAGGCTCTGGGGCCCAGGCAGGGAGTATGAGGTCTCAAAATGATGCCCTTGAAAGACCTGTTCCCCTTTCATCAATGCACAGACGCAGAAGACCCCTCCATCCTGCAGCCCGTGCCAGGAGCATCAGGCTCCTGTGCTGTGCGGCCTTTTCTCTCCTGTGGCCAGGTGAGTCCTGGGCAGGGCCCCTTGCATGGATTTCAAGGCCCAGCGCCTTCCCACTGGGGCTGCAGCATCAGTTTTGTTCTTCTCTGCAGGTCCAGTGAATGCTGGTGTCACTCAGACCCCAAAATTCCAAATCCTGAAGACAGGACAGAACATGACACTGAAGTGTGCCCAGGATATGAACCATGACCGCATGTACTGGTATCGACAAGACACAGGCATGGGACTGAGGCTGATTCATTACTCAGTTGGTGAAGGTAACACTGAGAAAGGAGAAGTCCCCAGTGGCTACAATGCCTCCAGATTAAACAAAAAGGATTTCCTGCTCAGGTTGGAGTTGGCTGCTCCCTCCCAGACATCTATATACTTCTGTGCCAGCAGTGAAGCCACAGTGCTGCATGGCCGTCTCCTCTCTGCACATAAAGGCAGGGGAGGTGCTGCCCTCATCCCCACCCCAGACTCAGCAATGCCCTTGGTCCTAGCACCAGAAACTTTGGAGCCCCAATGGGCCTGGGCAATGCCAGTCTTGGTCTGTGCCAGGTGCCTCTGCAGTCGGTCTCGGCCCGGCCTGGACTGGACTGGTCCCAGAGCCTCAGATATCTTCTTTGTCCCCCTCTGGTCTTTCCTCTGAGCTGTCCTTTCGGGCTGGGACCAGGGGTTTCCCAGCTCTGACTTTCCTAGTCATTCACCTGAGTCTGAGGCCTCGTAGGTGAAATAGGATTTGTATTTTAGATCCATCTAGACTCCCATCTCTACCTCAGTACCAGATGCTTTCCTCTCTATGATTTTCCTCATATTGAACCCTAAAGTCGTCTTAGCCACAGCCTGCATTTCCTATATTCACAGTTGCCCTCCAATACCTTGCTGGGTTTCTCCTCCCCGACCTCCCTGCCCTTCTCTACTCTTGCCATGTTGAGAGACTCCAAAGTCCATTTCCTGTGCCCTGGGCTGGAGACTTCCTTTCTGTAGTGATCAACACCTACCTGTGCTTCAGATCTCAGCATGATCAGCCCTAGTGATAATCACCACTATGCTTCCCTCAGCTCCCAGCTGAGGTCAGTTTCCCTTTAATAATCTCTCATGCTATCATGTGTCTGTTAGTAGAATTTAGCACAATTGGAATCTTCCAGATACTTTAAACCCCATGAAGGCCAAGGCTATGTCTGCTTTATATCCCAACAGCAGTGGCTGGCACAGGGGGAGACCCATTTCAAAGAGAATGAATGAGTCAATGACGCAGTGAATGATGGGTGGATGGATGAACGAATAACAGGAGCACCCTAGATCCATTTTACCCTGGCAGAGATCTGGCATTAAGTATAAGAAATCTTACCCGTTTGATTGCTGGGCTAGGGTAGGTCCCTGAAATTAATGGGGAGTCACTATCATGGGTAAGATTCCTCCTGTGTCTGCAGCACCAGACCTCCTCCAGGTCTCTATACTCTCCTTCAGACTCTTTCCCCACAACAACTCTAGACAGATCAGAGTTCCATTTCCAGAAACCCATGCACACAGGTTTGTGATTTTGGAACCACTTCTGGTACCAAAAACTCCATTAGGTTTACATCAATAAAACAGAGCCACTAAGAGTACTATGGAGAGGAGGATGTATGACAGGAGTTAGACCTTATGTAAATGTAGGGGGAGCTGAGGAAGAGAAGGTCTGGAGGGGTGATCTAGCCAGCAGATTTAATTCATGATTAATGTGACCTCTTATTCTACTGAAAGGAGAGCATATGATTTCAAATAAAAAAATATTGATTTTCCTTTGTAAAAGTTGGACTTAAATAGTGAGCTACTTTTGTCCCGTAATTGTCTTAGGTTGGCTAATGGTGGAACAAATCCTTGATGCTAGGACTTTGGTTTCCTTGGAAGAACAGGAAAAACAAAAACAAACAACCACAACAAAAAACACAAAACATCATGCATAGACAGCCTTACAGGCTCTGTTTTTTGGAGGAAGCATAATAAAAAAGAAACAGAAAATCAGAATTCTCTTCTGGAACCTACGTTGGGGCTGTCCTCAGAGCAGGCTGTGATGTGAGGAATCTAATCTACGGGGGTATTTCGCAGCTCAGAGTGCAGCAGACAGTTCCTGACCCCATGCATTTGGGGGTGAGACCGGAGACAGCTGAAAGGCTATGCAGTCTTGACGTTCCGCACCCTCAACCCTGGCCTCTCCCTGAATTTCACAGATTAACATCAGACCAATTCACTCCCACTATTAAAAATATGAAAACAAAAACTGAGGAGGAACAGTGAGCAGAAGCAATAAACTATTAAAATGAACATCTTGAAGATTTAAAATTCTGCCATCATAAGATGTGAATGTTTGAAGAGCTACATTTAAATAATTACAAGAAGGAACTGAAATGAGGACACGAAAAAAGAGGCTGCCCCAAACCATCAAAAAACATTAAAGAAAGAATCAAATAGAATGTCTAGAAATCATTATGATTACTCCAGAAAACCAAATGGAAGCTAAGCAGCAGATTCAATGCTTCTAAAGAGATTATAGCAACATCAAAGATGGATCTCAAGAAATCACCTAGAATGAAGCACAGAAAATTAAATGTAAAATATAAAAAAGTGAAGGAACAAGGAAAAAATGAAGTTTCTAGAATATCAGAAAGTATATAATGTTTTATTGAAATTTTTATTTTTTTCTTATATATAATTGAAGTTTCAGAAAGAGAAAACAGGGCAAATGGCCTGATATGACTGTGTATATGATGTTAGCTGAGACTGTTTCTGAGATGTTTGAGACCGAAATCCTTGTTCAAGAATTCAGATGAATTGCAAGATGAATAGGTAGGTCCCAGTGAAATTGCAGACCACAAATGACAAAGAGAAGATTTTAACAGCAGTCAAAAGGGAGAGATAAATATCTTTCAGTGGAACAGAATGAGAGAAATAAAGTCAAGAAAGAATTAAAACTAACCGTTAAATCAGAATTGTAGTCCTCAGTTATTGAAGACTCAGATTGATTTAAAAAAAATCTATAGGACAGGAAAAGAAAATATGGAACACTAAAAAAATTCTGTGAGTTTGCCACCAAGGTATCTTTTCTGAATTATAGTTAACGAGGGTAGGAAATGATCCCAGAAGAAAGGCACGAGGGCAGTTCGTGAGGAAACCTATGTGATGGGGCAGTCCCGTTGGGCACGTGTGACTGGGGGAATGGAGGAGGCTGCGGCACCAATGGGGATGGCAGAGGGAACCCCGACTTACAGGAAAGACAATGAGCTCACCCTTTGGTGCCTGGTGTTGGGGTTGCTGTTGGCACATCTTACAGAACGTGCCCAGCAGACAGAGGAGCGGCTGTGGGATGAGAAGGTGAACTCGGAGACGCAGCGTGAAGCCTCTCGGTCCAGACAGCACAGGAGCTCAAAGCGATGTCCCATGCAAATAACGTTGTTTACAAGGAGCGTATAAATATTTAAAGTAATCATCCAAGTGTGTTCTAATATAAATCCTGTGTTCCTGAGGTCATGCAGATTGGGAGAGGAAGTGATGTCACGGTGGGAACTTCCATGTAAGGACAGGGACGTCCCTCCTCCTCTGCTCCTGCTCACAATGATCCTGATCTGGCAAAGCTCCCATCCTGCCCTGACTCTGCCATGGGCACCAGGCTCCTCTGCTGGGCAGCCCTGTGCCTCCTGGGGGCAGGTGAGTCCTCAGACATCAACCAGTCTCATTGTGTGTGTGTGTGTGTGTGTGGCGGGTGGGGGGAGGTGTTTGTGTGTGTGTGTGTGTGTGTGTGTGTGGAGGGGTGGGATGTGTGCATTCGTGTGATGACTAAAATTGTTTCCCTTATTCTGTTCCTAACTTGTGCCTCCACAGATCACACAGATGCTGGAGTCTCCCAGTCCCCCAGGAACAAGGTCACAGAGGAGGGAAAGGATGTAGTGCTCAGGTGTGATCCAATTTCAGGTCATATCGCCCTTTATTGGTACCGACAGAGCCTGGGGAAGGGCCTGGAGTTTTTAATTTTCTTCCAAGGCAACGATGCACCAGACAAATCAGGGCTGCCCAGTGGTCGGTTTTCTGCAGAGAGGCTTGAGGGATCCGTCTCCACTCTGAAGATCCAGTGCACACAGCAGGGGGACTCGGCCGTGTATCTCTGTGCCAGCAGCTCAGCCACAGCGTGGCACAGTCACCTCCTTCCTGTTCACAAACCTCATCCTTCTCTCTCCTTGCAGCATCTAGAGACCCTTAACAGAGGCCTCTCTTTGCTCCCTGCTCCCCATGGGAAACAAGTAGATTTGGACCTCAGCTGTCCTTTGGGTAGAAAGAGACCACAGATTCACCCCTAAGACACAGTAATTGTAAATGTGGGTGGTGGAAGCAATCGTGGCCCACTGGACTCTAGGAGTCTTCAGAGCCAGCTCACTGCTCTAAGGCAAGCACTGGGTGTCTTAGCCTCGGCCTTCAGGGCTGGGACATGCAGTTTTCTTTGGGGCCTGGAAGGTTGCTGCCCACATACAGAAGCTTTGGGCATGGGCAAGGAACAGGCCTGTTCCCCTGCATGCATTCGGGCATCTGGCATCTGCAAGGTCTGAAGCTTCATCCACAGGAACATTCTTTCTTCTGAAGCCTCTTCTATCCCTGTACATTGGAAGTTTTCTGCAGTACCAGAGCAAAACAATCTTCGTGTTTGACTTAAACATCTTTGTGGCTTTTGTGACAATTACTTGATGAATACAGCCATGATAACAATAAGACTTCGTTTCTTCTGCTTAGTGTAAGCAATGCGTGTTCTTTATTTTGTGTTCATTTACCACTGCTCCTGTCTTGGGAGACTGAACATCCACTACTGCTCCGGTGTCAGCTTGGTTCCCTAGGAAATTGGGTTTCTAGAACCTGAATACTGACAAATAAGAATTGTACATATATATACCATGTAACCTGCATTTTAAAATGTGTGTACCTGGGCCTGTAATGCCAGCACTTTGAGAGGCCGAGGCGGGCAGATCACGAGGTTAGGAGATCGAGACCATCCTGGCTAACACGGTGAAACCCCATCTCTACTAAAAATACAAAAAATTAGCCAGGTGTGGAGGCGGGCACCTGTAGTCCCAGCTACTTGGGAGGCTGAGGCAGGAGAATGAAGTGAACCCAGGAGGAGGAGCTTGCAGAGAGCTGAGATGGCGCCACTGTGCTCCAGCCTGGGCGACAGAGCAAGACTCTGTCTCAAAAAAATAAAAAATATAAAAGTATGTACATGGTGCAGCGACTAAATCTAGCTAATTAACATATGCAGTACCTCAATCCTTATCCTTTCCTGTGGTGAGAATACTTGAAATGTACTCTGTTAGCAATATTCCAGAATGCAATCCACTGTTACTAACTCTAGTCACTGTGTTGTACAATAGATCTTCTGAACTTCCTCCTCCTATTTGAGTGAAATTTTGTATCTTTTAACCAACATCTCCCCAGCACCGCATCTCCACCCCAGCCTCTGATAATTGTTGCTCTAGTCTTTTGATTTGAAATAATATTCCTGAGGTCTTTAACTCAAGAAGATGGAGTTTTAAAAATAATAATGCTTATATTACTTTTGTTTTGTTATTTTACATATTGCTATATAGTTTTTGTTGCAAATATAAATAAGTATATTGTAATAAAAAT